AACTAGTGAATAGGCGGCTGATTGAGAGAGCGCCGGCTATTAGTACCTACCCGACCTTACCTTACAATCTCACCACAGCTAACGACACCCCTTCAAAGGAGATCAGCGGCTGTGATTATAATTTTAGGGTTTAATTGATCACGAATCAAAAATATACTTGGAATGATAGATATGCCAACTGCTGGTAACTTGCCAGCCTGTCAAATACTCAGAATGAGGTATCGCATTTATTTTTCCCCCTAACGACAGGAACTTCGCTAGTGTCGCTGCCATTGTTTGGGAGCCTCGTTAATCTTTCTAAGCGCTACTTATGGACTGATGAAATGAGACATCGATTCAGAGCATGAGGTCTGTGTGTGGTTCTGGACGCTATCTAGTTATCAACCCGGGTGTATTGCCGGGGTATGAAATATGTGTTGGATGAGTGTTGCTATATACGCAACCTGTCAGCCAACTTCCATGCATGATGCATGGATCAATATATGCTACTTACTACATCCCTGGATTTGCCCGCAACACATGAAATTCCTATTTTAGATAAGGATTTCCATTATCGACTCATTTGCTAGGTACCTAGGTAGGTAGTATTAATTTGCCGCAAACCAGCCATAAGATATAACTACTCTCATAAGTTCCCTTTTTTTTACAGTGAATGCTTGAGCTGAGGAACAAAATCAAGACTATTCTTTACGTGGATTGATTATTAGTAAGCATCATGAGCGACTTGGTTGAGGTGGACATACTTGTAATCGGTGCAGGTAAATACAACAGGCTAAATAGAGCTTACACATTCGCATTTAATTCTGTCACTAATTCTTGCTCCCAAAAAGGAATTTCCGGCATTTGTGCAAGCAAGTATTTTTTGGAATTCCATCCACAAGCCCGATTGGTAATCATCGATAGAGATAGTTGCGTTGGTGGAACCTGGAATGCGCGTCAGTTTCATTTTTCATCTTTTCCATTCTCCATGGTGGGATGCTAATTTGAATCGATTGCAGGAAGAGGCTACGATAGTTTCTGGACTCAATGGATGGTAGGAACAGCCGAGTTCTCAGACCAAGAAATGTCGAGACCACCGGACGAAGACCTTTACAAAGAGTTTTTCAAGGCTAAGCATACAACAAAATATCTGGAAAGTTATATTGATACACATAAATACGATGGCAAAACTCTCCGTGACAGGATTCAATTCTCGGTCGAAGTTAGATCAGTTTCCAAGAAGGATGGTTATTGGACTGTCTTGGCCAGCGATCGAGGCAGCGGGCAGCTGCAACATACTTTCAAAACTCCGAAACTAATAGTTGCAAGTGGTTTGACTTCAATCCCAAATATGCCTTCATTGCCGGGAAAAGAAAGGTTTGAAGGCCAAATACTTCATCATGAAGATTTCGGTTCGTCTGACGTTTTGACCTCCCCAAAACAGAATATTACTATTCTTGGGGCTGGGAAATCGTCTGCAGACATGGTTTACGAAGCAGTGAAGGCTGGAAAACAAGTGTCATGGATTCTGAAAGCTACAAATACGACTGGTCCAGGCTTCTTTGTTTCTCCGGATGGAAAAGGACCCTATAAAAATGCATTCGAAATAAGCTTGACAAGAATAGCAGCTACATTCACTCCTTCGTTTCTGAATGGAATGAATGTATGGACGAAACTCCTCCACTCATCCGCATATGGCGTGAAGATGATGAAGGGCTTTTGGGGGACCATAGATGCAGATGCGCGAAAGTCTGCAAATTTCCAACGAAAATGCCTACAAAATTTTGACAAGTTAGAGCCGAGCTCACCGTAAGTTCCTTGAACCCTTCACGAGAGCCCATCATTGACATTTGGAGTAGTCTTTTCTGGCAAAATTGCACCGCTGGACTTCTCAACCACTCCGACTTTTTTGACACCGTTGCCGAAAATGTTCGTATCTTTGTTGGGGATATTGAAGGTTTGAAGAGCAATAGTCTTCTTCTCAAAACCGGCGATGAAATACCATCCGACGCTATTTTATGCGGTACAGGCTGGGTGCCTTCGCTGCAATACTTCACACAAGCGCAATGTCAAGAATTTGGTTTACCTCATATTTTAGACCATGAAGAAGCAAAAGATGAACATGATCACTGGGCGAACTTGGAGGCAGAAGCAGATCTCCAAGTCCTTGCTACTTTTCCCCAGATCCAAAGCCCTCCTGATCATTATCAAAGAACTGCAACCCATACTCCATACCGTTTATATCGACATATAGTTCCTATATCGGAGTCTTCTAGCAATGAGAAAGATGACCGCTCAATTGTTTTCCTCGGCCAAGTCGTAGTAGGAAATTATTTTCCCACCTTGGAGTGTCAATCTCTATGGGCAGTGGCATATCTAGATGGGAAGTTGGATTTGCCGGGTAAACAAGAGCAGGAAAAAGATGTTGCTCTGTTCACAGCGTGGTCTCGACGTCGCTATCTGAGCAATGGCCAGCAAGGCAACAATCTGACATTCGATTTCATTGGTTATATAGATGCGCTTTTGAAGGATCTCGGCCTTACTAGTCATCGAAAAGGTTGGTTTAAAGATTTGTTTGCGGCTATGTGGGCTAAAGATCTGGGGAGCTTGCAGGCAGAATTTTCGAAGAAGTTCGAGTATGATAATACCGTTAAATCAATTTAGGATTTTCCAGGAAATAAAAAAACGTATAGGAGTCATATATTTCTCATTAATACTTTCCATTTAGTATAACGTGGTTTATCATCGAATGGCCTATATCATTAAGTGGCTCACTTTCACCTCAATTTATACTTTCAAATCCATATTATTTAATAACAATTAAATCAATTAATTGAAATTATTAAGAATTTAATAATCTAGGATTTATTATATTATTTCAATAGATTTTTATATTATATTTTATCTTTTTGTATTTATTATAATATTGATTAAAAAATATTTTTTTTATTAGAATTCTTTTCTTTTGATGTTTATTATATTAATTTTAAATATTAATTTTTTATTAAGATAATATATTAAGAGTTTTTTATTTAATAAATATTTCTTTTTAATATAATTAGATTTTCTTTATATATTAATATTTGTTTAATATTTCATTATTATTTAAAGTAACGTAATTTATCAGTAGATTAGTTATATCAGTAGATCGATCATTTTTACCTCGAATTATTATTCTATATTCAATATGTGTTTTCTTTATAATTAATTATAGAAATTTAATCTAAAGTAGTATATATAATTTTAGCTATTCAAACTATTAAATTAAATAAAAAATTATTAATTTGAAAAACAGTTTAATTTTATTATATATTTCAAATTATATTGAATAATAGCATTCAAAATAAATCTAATATAGTTGAGAATTAATTAAAAAGTTATAATTTGATTGAATTAAAAGAGGAAATATTTATTTAATATATTCTTAATATAGATTTGAGAGATTTTTCATTTAAATTCAAAAATATAAAAGATATAATAGATTATATTCTCAAATCGAAAAATATAAAATATATTAGAAAGTTTTGAATATATCGATTTATAAAACATTAAATAATCGAGAATAAGCTATAGTAATAATATATAAAAATAAAGAAAATAAGATTATTTCCTTATTTCTAATAATTCAAGAATAGATTTATCTTTTTAATTAATATATCAAAATTAATCTTTTTATAAAATAAGCTATTAAATTTATATTTAATACATAAATAAATAATAAAATAGATTTAAAATAATTGAAATATTTTAATAAATATATTAAGAGTCGAAAAAAAGCAAATATCAAATATTGGTATTGAATAAATATAAAAATCATAAATCAATAGTTTTTAAATATATTATAAAGAGAATAATATTATATATTTATATTTATTATTATATTCAAATTATTTAATTCAATCATTTGATATTAGCTATTTTAATAATCTAAAATATTCATATAATAATCAAATTAATAAATTTATTAAGATATATATCAATTATATTTCAAAAATTGAATTCTTTATAGTTTTTAAAACTATATATAAAAAATCAATTATTTTTTAAAATATAAAATCAAAATTTCAAAAAATAGATTTAATTCTATTTAATTCTTAAATTATATTTTTGAAATTAAATATTCAAATTCGTATATCTATTCCTTCTTTTTTCAATTTAAATTAATAAATTTCTTAAATTTTTTATAATCTAATTAAAATTCTTCTTCAATCAATATTAATTAAATTTCAAATAATTTGTTATTAATTAAGCTTTTTTATATTCATATTCAAAATTATATTAATTTTAATTAAGAATATAAAAAAATTAATTTATAAAAATATATTTTTAAATATAAAGATTTATATATTTTGGATAGTAAATAAAGTATTAAGTAAATATTGATATATATAAAAAATCTAATTATATTAAGAAAAAATACTTATTAAATAAAAACTTTTAATATATTATTTTAATAAAAAATCAATATTTAAATTTAATATAATAAATATTAAAAAAAAATTCTAATAAAAAAATATTTTTTAATAGATATTATAATAAATATGAAAAGATAAGATATAATATAAGAATTTATTAAAATAATATAATAGATTCTAAATTATTAGATTCTTTATAATTTCAATTAATTGATTTGATTATTATTGAATAATATAGTTTTGAAAGTGTAAATTGAGGTGAAAGTAATCTATTTATTAATATGACCTATTCACTGATAAACCACGTTATAGTAAATAATAATCTTAGTTTGTCTAAGAACACCAGATGTAATATTAAGAAAAGCTACACAAATTCAAAAAGTAAATTCAATTTCTTAAAAGAAAAGAAAAATTATACAAATTTCAGGAGTAGGTCCCGCCTTGATACTCTCTCGTTACAGTATTCCAGTAATCTACGATTCTCCAGCTGTCGGCCAGAATCTTTTCGATCACTTTGCACTCTTTCAAGTTTATAAACTACGCGATCCGGAACGCGGACTTTCTCTTGGACATCTATCCCCTACAGATGCAGCGTTCTTCAAGGGCATGCCTTTTGGTTGGATTTTTGATGAAGCATCGCCAGCCGATCAGCTTAAGAAAGCATTCACTGAGGATGGGGATTCATCAGATTCATATGGATTGGGTGATGTCAGTAGGATTCATGTTAAGACCATGTTAGTATACAACCCTCTTGCACCCGGAGTTCCTGTCAATGGCATGTTCATCGCTACTTCTGTGATGCTCACTCTGCTAATATCTCGAGGCTCACTAGAGTTGGCGTCTGCTTCACCAAATGAAAGGTGGCGAGACATCTTATGGCTTATAGAATTATGTATGTGTTCGCTCCGCTGGCTCTCTGGGGGCCACTGTGGAGGCAGACTGTTCTCACCTTTTTTTTCCCGTACCAGTTTGATTCTTCCCGCCCTACCCGGGCCCATTCTCGTCCCAAATGACCCATACAATTCAGACTGGGCAAGAGGATGAGACAGGGTAAAGGTTAGGTACAGTACATAAAGTTAGCTAAACATCCATTCAAAGTACAACTTTTAGTAGCAGCTGAGCAGCTCATCACAGTCAATCTTTTTTTTTTTTTGCATCTAGACCCAACTCGATTTGTTCAGAGAACCACGGAATGCCCCAGGTCTCATCGAAGGCCAGCAAGATTGGTGTCTCTTCCCCTCAGGTAACAACATGATCACTGCCATTCAAAACGACTCACAGGAATTGCGTTTCTTTCTCAGAATATCTACCCAAAGCTGACCACGACTCTCTCGCGACTTATTGATTGATACAGCCAACTTAGTCTCATGCCAGAGAGTTCCACGGACAACTTCTTCATTTCCACGCAGACCAGGCATTCATAAGCAACTCGTCGGCGTCACGTGCCGCTATATTCAATTGTTAGCTTGCAAGATGAAGGAATCAGAAGCGCCTCAGCAAGATATTTGGGAAAGGTGCTGTAAAGCTTGTGCCCATGAAAACCAGCGAAACGAAAAGGCAAATCGAAGTTTTAATCTTGTATTGTTGCCCCTGGTGCATATGTTTTACATAGAATGTTACGCCAGCAGGAAAGTTCTTATTTGATGAGAGACTTATTGGTGAAGAATTCAAGAGTCGTAACTCGTAAAGAGATCTTCTCTAGTAGAGTCAGAAGAATACCCTGAAAGATATTACCAAAACCTCAACTAGCGTGGTCATGGCCATGTGACTAGTTCTCTCGAGCAAGGAATTAATTTTACGGTGCTTTTTATTTATTTTGATCCTGGTTTTGGTATAAAGGTCTTGGGTAGAAGGAAGATCACTTTGAGATGTATTTGACAAGTTGATGGTGATGAGGCTTTTGTGTTTGTAGATAGCAAACACATGTATTGAAAGAGGTATATGAGAATACGGAATCGCACAAATAGCTTCGTAAGCATAGTATATAAGACGGTGTGGTTTGAAGAGTTTCCCGAGTACGTACTCGTGAGAATCAAGTCGTGGGTATCGTGGCGTAGGACTGAAAGTACAGATCACCGGTGAATAGTGGTTCTATTATCATTGAGTCCATTTCTGCGCCTTCGAAACAAGCAAGTTATCTACAATGTTAAATCACTTTGAATATTGAATTTGCTTTACATGTTAGATCGCCTTCAGACATTCTCTACTCAAAATTGTCTGCTAGTCCGGATTGACCGGCTTATTTTGATATCTCGAGGAGATGCAGCAGCCCCTCCTCAGAAATAAAGGGTGACTCATTTTGATTTCAGCTGCGAAGAAAACACTTTTCAGCGGGATAGTTTTAAGATCTCACCATGATCTTGGGCTAAACAGCAGTTTTAACTATGGTTCTTGCGATCTCCTGAGCTGTCAATTAAGCACAATGAGTCTGAGAGAGATGCGATATGAGGATATGCTTGTATTTGTGCGCTCGTTTGGGTGTGCATACTATGTTCCATGAATACTGTTCTCAGAAATCTTTGTAACCATATTAGTCAATAACTTTAGGTCAAGAAACCACTCGAGAACTATAAGCAGATGATTATAATTTATCTCTCGCGAAACTAGATGTTTCACTTATTTCTATAAGGAATGAATATAGATGTTCAGGTTGCACTTGCCGTCCTGAAGTTTTGTTGATCAAATTATACGATACTGGAATTATTTTCATACTCAAGATATACTCAGATCAGTAATTAAATCTCACATCCCCATAATGTAAGATTATACACAAGCGAACTCCAAAAAAATTAACTCCACCCGATATATTCCTACGAGTTCTACAATATCTACAATTCCTACCCTTCAAACTCCAAGCCCTCTCTCCCTCATCTCCCACCCAGGGTCCCAAACATCCCATCTCCCCTGAACTAAACCCCTCACTACCATCACCACTCTCCCTAACTCCAACTCACCTATCCCTCAATCAGCCAACCAACCAACCACCAACCTTCAGCGCCTAAAAGCCAGCCACAGAAAAAAGTGGAGCTGAACTCTTGACGAGAAACAGACCATTCAAGCGAGCTCGCGAGCGAGCTTTAGGGGAACCGAGAGACTTACTTGTTGGTGCGAGGGAGATAAATTTGTTTCCTGATAAGCTGTTTTTACTGCCATTTTGTGTATTTTGTAGGGATAGGATGCATATAGATGACGGGATGATAGAATGACAAGATGTAAGTTTGGGTAGTTTGAAAGCGGGAGTTGTATGGTCTAGTTACCTAATGATAGGAGAAAATGGGTTATCAATTGTATGAAAGATCGATATCCTGGTGGTATGGCCGTATAGAATTTCCTCACGTACAGTGAAGCTAAGACAAATCTACGAAGTAATGACACGATTAATCAGGGGAGTATTATAAAAAGCCGGTTGAACTCTCGTAGATACCCGATTCCTAATACGACCTAGTATATTATATAATCATTAGACTTTGCTTAATCACTTTCATCATTGTATAGAACCAATTTCTGTGAAAAATTGCACAAGACGAGGATTATAGGAATGTGACGAAATGATCACTTCGCTAACTACTTTACTACTTTATTTGCCGCCACGGGGTATCGCACGCTAATATATCTTATTTACATATATGCATGCATACGCGTGTTCGTATTCACATGCGTGATTCTCGGTACTCAGTTTCAAGATATTTTTGAAGGAGAGAAAGAACTTGAATCCACCGAGTCATTCTTAGACTTTTCTTCCATCCCCCAGAATTAATTTGGAACTAGGTTCGCGGTAGAGGTTAGAGGTAGATAATTACCTCCGTCTGCGATTTCAATTTGGTTCTCAGGAACGAAATCCAGACATGTGTCGTTTACTTGATCGGAGAGTAGCGGTGACTGAATATCAACAATATCAACACTGCCAATGCATGCAGGAGCTAAATCCGGAGACCAGCAATTTGCATTGATATCTGAGGTTTGAGAAGGAGTTGCTGAATTCTTCTGAGAAGATGATGCGGAGGAAAATGATCCATAGCCGCTGTCGAAGCTTTGTTGACGTATTCCTGATGTTGTTACGAAGCAGTCTGGTCGACGTTGTAGATGGCTAATTCGCGATCGTGGGTGACCTTCGACTTGAGCTGGGCAATTGCTTAGAGATGTAAAGGCGAGATCAACTGGTGTAGATATGGATGATTCTTCTGTGGGACCAATGACTTGTTCTTGCTGTTGGAACAAAGGTGAGGTGAGAGTATTCATAGGTACAGGTGTACTCCTTGATTTATTGATTTGATCTAAGAGCTTCTGGAAAAGAAATTTCCCGTTATCATTGTGGTTTGGAACAGCTGCGGTAGGATCTAGAGCATAGCTTTGTTGTAAGGAGGTAATCATATCATGCCACTTCGGATCTGGCGGTCTGTGCTGCTGCTGCTGATTTATTTGTTGTTCGTATAACTGTGTTTGCTGTACTAGAGGTGAGGATTGAAGAGAACCAAACGAAGTCGATTTATCACATCCCATATTTGCCGAAGCACTGTAGGTTTGATTTTCAGATTTGACTGTCGTTCCCGGGTCCATATCACAATCTACTTGATCGATAATCGCTTCGTGTCCAACTCCATAACCACTCCCCGCCTCCCAGAGATTTGCACCACACATAAGCCCTTCCCTGTCTCCCTCAAAATCCACGGCATCCCCCAAGGCTCCCTCTCCTAATCTTGCACTCCTACACTTCTCGATCAACTTCCAAGCCTCAACTCCCACATCCGCACTCTCAAGCATTCCCCTGTAAGCCTCTTCTCTCCTCTCCCAGTTCGCCATAAATTTCCTAATGGTCGCGTCACCGCATCCCTCCCTTACCATTCCTTTACAAATTTCAATCAAATTCAGCAATTCCCTCCGACTTTCCAACAACTTGGTTTTCGTAGCATTGATTTCGGCAACACAACGCTCGTATCTTTCTTGATCAGCGCTCATCTCGGCTTTCTTCTTAAGTCGACATTTTCTTGCTGCACGTCTGTTTTTTTCGAGATATTTTTCCCGAGCCCGGAGTATTTCTGCAGGGGTGAGAATCTTCTTGGCGCGGGGGCGACGTTTCTTTTTTGGGGGAAGTGATGTGGTTGAAGAGATGGAATTTGAGTCGGTGGTGAGTGGGTACGCATCTTTCGGATGGGTAAGAGGACTTAACATTCGTTTCTTGGATGGTTTGAGAGTGGCCAAATTAATGTTCGGCGAATTGTTTGTGACTTCAACGTCGAATGGAGCATTCTCTGTCGGACTCTTGGGACTATTTTTAATTTCAGAGGTAGGGATGAGTTTGGAGTTGTCGACGTTCAGTGAACTCTCAGGGATATTTGTGAACAAATCACCAAACAGGTTAATCGCATTCTCTGTGGTATTTTGACTCCCATCGATCCCATCCTGTCGTCTCTCATTCGTGTTTGTGTTGAGAGTTGTATTTGGTATCTGTATGACATCATCGAATATCGCCGAAAATGAATCATCCTCTGTGATGTTCAGATCCATAAAAGCCTATAAGAATTCAAAACCTTGCAACTTTCGGCTCCAATCGTCCACCAATCAGAGATTGAAGCCATTTTGGATCTATCTTACCTGGTCATTTCCACTCATGAGTTCGTTCCATTCTGCTTGTGCTTTTTCTGTTCCTGGGCTAACGAGTAAATTGGAAGCGAGATTGTTGTTTTGTATTTTCAGCGCGTCTTCGGCGACGAACTCATTCAAGTCGAGTTGGCCTAAGTGAGGGTGCTGGAACTTTGCTCGGTACATTGCCAAGGATTTACGGATATGTTGAGACGTTCGGTTCTCGCTGACTAGTATCAACTAGATAAGTAGGTCGTGTACTGTTATTAGTACTGTTGACGGAATATGACGGTCGAGGCAACTGGCCTATCAGGTCAAGCTGGAGCAGGCAAGTACCAGTAGATGTGTGATAGCCTCAAAGCTTTTATTGAATCGCCAAGAGACAGGCAGTACCATAGGACTTCGATATGTCAAGATAATCTGAAAACAGGTGATAGGGTTTGAGGGGAGATTAAGCTGTGAACCGTAGAACGATATTAGAACAAAATATGTATTATGTTAATTATTAAAAGTCTTTTCCGCCTGTAGCTTGAATCTTATATCACATCGTATATCTCAATCCGTGTTGAGAAAGAAGCGAACTTAATAGAAGGTAGCAATCAAACAATTCCAGGGCGAGACGGCGAGACAATTATATCCAGCCCTGTCTTCATAATGCAAGCAACAGCGCATAATGACATCAGATCATCGAATCCAATAAGCATCGAGAAGCGTTCGATTCCCGATGACACTCTAACTGAATCGATACAGATTAATGACTACCGTAGACAAAGGGGATGGTGTGCTTCCTATATTACTTGTCGTTCTTATCTCTCTTCATCGCATGAACCGGTTTCGAAAAGGAGAAAGAGAGAAAAAATTCAATAAAAAACCAAGCGTTTAATAGCTATCCCCGCATTTACAAGCATCGGAGGAGCCAAAGTGGAAGAAGATGTGCGAATCTGGTGGAAAAGCGTCATGGTTTTCTTTATGCAGGCCAGATAATGAAATCTCGTATACCGAAGAAGCCTCCGTTGGTTGCGATATCCAATCACTGCTTTCAAACTTCGCCTTACTAACCATGCCTTGACTTTTCATTGTCCCATTTTATAAACATTTGATAAACACATGTGAAATGTTTATTTCTGATCCCATTTTTAAGGAGGTTTCCTCCGACATGGTTGTAGACTTTCCTGAAAATGACAAGCAGAAAATGTTTCTAGCAAGCACATTGGTCAAGGAGATGACTCCTATACGATAACATGCACAAGTAAAGTATTGCATACAAAGACTCTAGATGGGAAAGTTGAATGGAGATCTCAAAGATACAATTTGCTTTCAACACCTACTCGAATATGAAGTAGCATGTGTATCAAATAGAGTCTCTGGAGAGAAAGAGAGAAATTGGGAGAGGGAGGTGAAAAGATATATCGCCACCCCCTCATTATTCTTTTAAGCTACCCGCTATCCAACCTATCAATCAGCCTTAGCGACAATTGACCACTCATAATTGACCCTTTAAGGAAAATAAGGAGAACATGGCAATTTATTTAACTTTCTCAAATTCCCATCTCTTTTATCAATAATCGCATCTTTCTTCTACTTCCTTCATCTTTTATACTTCACGTCTACCACTAGTCGGTACTACTCCGGAGTTCACGCCTAGCCCTGCCCAGTTTTTATTTCATTATCGCCCCTCTTTTATCGAACATCTAACATTCAACGTCTATCGTAGGAGTTCTCCCTGGCTTATACCTCTTCCTCACGAGTCACTACATCCATACATATATACCACCGTGCCATAGAAATCCCGAGAACCCGATTGGCGAATACCGAAATCAGAACAGTCTCAGTGTCTGTTACTGACGAGCTCACCACCACTCGGAACAGCCTCCGTAGCTGTAGCATCCCGGCAACCAGTCAGTCTACATTGTAGTTATACTATGTGCATCGTACTTTCGCCTTTTTTTTTTCGATAGCATCAACATGCAATTATGAAACGAACCTCGATATTAGAAAGGTTCGTGGCTCTGAGGGATGGGGTTGCAATTGAGGCCGTCAGGGATGTGCTCTTACTAACATGTTCTACATCTTGTATATGGTGGCTTCGCCCCCAATCCGATAGTCCTCGCTGCGATCGACAATTATGACCTGGTACTCTCTCTTGTTATTTCATCAGTCTATTCACCTATACAAATTTTCGCAGTGAAAGAAGTAATGATTAAGTAATCACATCTGATCGCATTCGGAGATGGGGAGATGCCTCCGAAGCGATGAATGGGTTTGGAGCTGCTCTGCCGCGAGAATAGCTGTCTAAATTACGCACGGTCCATTATTGATTACATAATAGTACTCTTCGCCGGAGGAAAAGGTCCTCCTACCGCTGATTGGTCCGGATGGATTTCTACGAGATTACTAAGCATTTTCACTATGCGAACGTTAAATCGACGAAGAGCTGGCTGGTCTAGGATGTGAAACTTTTTTTTTATACATGATCCTGTACATTGCTTTGGAAGCTGATTCATTGTGTTTGTTTTGAGATAATGAGCAAGAAATTGGGATTGCATCCGTCGAGTTTCAATGAACTTTTTTGTTCCACAGTATTATTAGTTACCTGATGTTTGTTAGTAATATATCCGAGTAGAAAGCATCAAGACATCAAAGATAGCCCAGCCCCTGTGAATGAAGGTTAACTCTGAACCTCAAATGCATTTTAGATTTCTCACCACAAAACCTCAGAAATAAAAGCTTCACAAGTCGACTTCAACATAACATCTCTGGAGAGAACCCTCTCGAAGCTTCTAGAATCGCAATTTCATGAAGATAAAAGAAGCTGCGAAGCCGATGTGGGAAGAAACAAAAACCATAGATAATTCTACATCTTATCTAGGCTCGCCCGACCAGATATGTCAACTGGCAATCAATCGTAAATTACAAAACGATTTCAATTTCGAAAGGACAAAGAAAGAGTATGTACATTCATACTGTGTCATAACATCCTTAAGCCCAGGTCTTAAAAGCTCAAGTGTCGTTGATAAAAAAAGCTTGTAATGAAAAAATGAAACACAACTCCCGCGGAAAAGCACGCGTGTCATTTTGGGCATGCTGCATGATCTTACTTATCAATCAAGATTATGACTCTTCACAAGGTACTAGGAGGAGCATAAGCTCTGTGAGAGGAATGCATGCAGGCTGTCACCAAATCACTAAGGTTAGGAGAAGGCCATGAAGTGAGAGCTCTGCTTGTATCAGAGTTCTACTAAAGCTCTGCTAGTATGATTTTGTACTAGCTCTGCACGAATCATATCAGCATAAACGATCATTTCAATGTGATCGCGCAAAATTAAGACCGGAAGCGCGAACAGAAACAAATGAATGAATTAGATAAAACGTAGCTTTGAAAGAAAAGTTGGGCCGCCCTAGTCGCTAGTGAATGTTGTTTCGTCTACATGCAATATGTCTTTATGGTTGGCTGAAAGCCCCGGAGATATGTCCGAGTGAAGCTGGCAATGTGGGAATACGGGATGAACTCAGTTAGCTCAACCTAGGCCGTTCTATTTGGAGCCTTGAGGTGGTTTGATTACTTGAGCGGGAGTGTATAACCTATCGGACGATTTCGCAAGATGGAAAGTTTTCTTCCGACCGTTGCTTGACTTCCTGATGTTCCCGCATTGGCGAGGAAGATCTAATCTAAAAGGGAATAAGCTCGAGCTGGGTGGGTATACACAGTATGGAAAGATGATTTGAGAGAACAGGTACACTGTTAGTCTTGTTTCCTCAGCTCATTTTGAGATTTCGAGGCAGTTTATGAAACATGATGAGGATTGTTATTGGTGAGAGATTAGAGAAAGTGAAGCGAATGAAAAAAGGAAGGTGGGTGTGGGTTGCATCAAAAATTTGATTATTAAATGGTATTGCCGTGCACTATTTGTTGCATGTACTACACAGAGAAATCGGGAGACTTGACAACGAACAAGAGAAGCTGAAGACGCAATAGAACATTATGCGAGACTAAATTAGAAGGAACTGAAGAATTTCCGTCACTTTTCGCGCTTCTATTGATCCTCTTCGCAATGCGGGAATTTCTTAAGACGCTATCCATGATTTCTTGTAGCAGTGGTAGGAGATTCTCCCCAATACTTCTATGTGCCATTCACATCTTAGCGTATGCTTCATAAGAAGCCCTTTTTTTCTTGGCCTATGCATCAATGATTGTACCGTGGCCGCCGGTTCCAAATCTGGGAGCGGGCCCCTGTTTCATGGGTTCTAGATGGCACTTCTGCTATTAAAAGTCTACGGGCTCGACGCTCGTCACTAAAAATAAAACACCACGAGGATGAACAAAACGAAGCGTGGCACCCGTTCTCAGCTACAACTCATAATAGATACATGTAAATTTTATTCCACTATTAACAATAAAAACGTCCATCGCGATGATATGCATGACCATGTACGCGTGAAGGTGTTACTTGTAATTGACCCCTAGCATTGGGTTCATATGAGTGGATCTTGCAAGACACGACACATCAGCATATGACTCTCAATACCTGTTTTAAAATATTCTCAGGACTGGTAATTGGTAACAGCTAAACAAAAAAGTCATCTGGATCGACTACGATCGAGATTGGGTGATATTTAGACGTCGCGATTAGCGCGGGACTAGAAACATTTAATGCGGAATTTAAAAATCTTTATCAATTTTACATCACCGATGAAGATACTTACTTTATTTTCTGCAGTCCAACTCAGTGTCATATCTCGGCTTAGTTCCGTTATGTACTCATGAGAGATCGTCGGATACTTGCAACGATTATAAAGAATTGATTAGAGAGTTCACTCGGTGCCCCATTTAGCACCTCGAAATAACTACACCTCAAATCTGTAAAACGCACTAAGGTTCTCCAACTTTGGATGTGAGGAAATACGATATTGTCGTCGTCGAATTTTAGATAAAATTTTAGAAGCTAGACTCAAGTTCGAAAGAGGACATACTGGTGAGGTTACAAACGTTTTTCTGTATGGGTCGCATTCCTCTTCATTAGGTGCATGCATCCTACACCTTTCTGGCAGAGCATACTAATCTGTCAATGTTTAAAATTGTGCCTGGTACGCTATAAACGGAACATATCGCATAACAAAGTCCGACATGCTTGGAATTCATTAATTTTTTCCAATACCCACCCAAATTCGAGTATTAGTGTTGTCATAGAATATGCAACTCCGCCGTTGAGTGAAATCCAGGTTAATCCTCTTGGAGTTCGCTATCTTGTGGTGTGTGCGTCTAGCTTCAGGATTGCATATTCTCTGAAAGCACGAGCGCTTGGCATTGAACACTTGCTGGATCATGTACCATGTAGACTTGACATGGACATGTCGCAAGTATCGACCCCGCTCTCTACCATCAACCTGTTCTTAAGAAAAGAAATTGGTTTCGTCGAGACAATATACCTAAAGAAATTTGTGATGTTGCAAAGAATTGTCGGTCTTGTTAACTTTCCCATTCTCACTGGATATGCGTCATGCGTGTTTTGAATGACCGGGGATGCGAAGGGCGGGGTTGTTAACCAAATCAAGAATTCGAATAATACGCAAAGTGAAGGGACATAGTGCAGAAAAAAAAAGCACCAATATCGACCGATGACTGGACTCTAAACAGATGGAAAGAATTGGCTGGTGTTAACTTCAATCCCAAAATTCGAATATCGAGGATGGGCATGACGAGTTCAAAGTCTTGAAACTTGTTGAAGTTTATTAGGTATGAGACTAGCGATGTACTTCACCACTCAGAAGGGTGGCGCTTCGCAAGTGAGTTTGATTCAAGCGATAAAATATCTAAACCCTCCACCGTGGGAACATTCGATGCACTCTGCGAGCTCCTCTGAGTCGAGGAGAGCAGATGTGATGAGAAGTCTTTCAACATCAGATTTCCTTTTTTTTTGTTGCGTGTGTGACCAAAACAGTATCTGGGCAGAGAATGTAATTCGGATAGTTCCAGATACGGCATACATTAAGGTCAGGAACCTTGCTGCCAGATGATTCTTGACCAGAATATTCTGGACGGGCTACAGATGAATTCTTGCTATACATACTGACATGAATAAGATATAGCTGGGGATGATAGACATAAGATCCCTGCTTGAAGTGACCAATTGTTCGAGATGGCAGACTTGTCATCAAACGGCCGGTAAAATAGAGGTATTTCCTTGAGGAACTAACAGACTGTATCCTACAACCAAACACAGCACAACAACAATCACAAAGGTAAAAGAGTACGAAGAGGCAAAGGAGAAATATGAACTGTTGTAGCTAAACTTTTGGAGCTCCTGTATGCCATCGACAACTTGACACTTGCCTACAATCATTGCTCGCACACAGCTGTCAAACCGGAAACTGGAGTTTGGGAGCTCGTTGATACTCGAAAATTCAACTTCCACTTAATAAAAGACGATTGATCTTATGGTTTGATGTCGTTTGTGCATATATCCTGTTGTTGCTGAACTCGGTGGGAAGATCTGTACATATTCATGTGTCTCTTTAAGAAGTAGGTAGGTAATTGAAACATATGAGCAAATGGCAAATAACCCTAAATCTCAGACTCTGCGCTCAGTGCACACTTTCCATCAATGTATGATTTTTTGAAGTAAGTGAAGCAAATGAAGATCAATCCAGCTGTTAGTGCGTTGAACATATATCAACGATTCAAGGTCTGTCACGTGATACACTTTGCCACCTCGGAGGCAAATTCACTAAACCTGCACCTGCGCTCATGATAATACCACACACTATCAGGTCGATTCAAAAAAACATTACGCTAATTCAATATTTTGTTGCTGCTCCTCTCCTTAATGTCTAATCTACTCATTCTATGTTTGCTGATGAAGCTATTCAGAAGTAATCTGCTAGTTTGAAACGACAATAATACTTACTCAGTAGGTAGCTACAGAATCCAGGCCAAACGCAATGCCATTGGTGACAAATACCCTAAAACAACTTCATCTGGTTTGCCCGTGTTTTAGAGTTTAATCAACCCACCGCCAAGCAAGCACTTATAACACATTTCAAAATGTCTCATTCGATCTTTTATATCTTGGCTCTTTCCCAAATCAAGATAGCGGCGGAAGGGAAAAGGGGAGTTTCTTCTTCAATCACCTGAATCATTATTTTAGACAAGCTTCTCTACCCCGTTCCTAATCGACCAGTGTGTTATTGTTAATCGTGGCCTTTGTTATCGACCATCAAATAATGCATTTGATGTCGAAAGTCGACTTTTGATTATTGAATAGTGCTCTATCTAAAGATCGTCATCATGATGCGCTTGCAGGCACGTCGTGTTGTGTTTGTCGCCATCATTTTCAGCGCGACAATTGCATACATTTTGTACACCCAAAGTAAATATATCACGTGGCCACGTACTGACCCAAATGATTCAATTGTCTATGAAACGCAACCCAACTCAGAGTCCGATGCAAAAATACCTGCAGACCCGAGTTCGTCGACTCCATTAACAGATTCGAATGATGAGGTCAAAACACCGCCAACGGTTGAAGAGCCTTCACTGAAGGAGAACCAAGACAAGAAGCCAGATGAACAACATCCAGCTGAAAAACAGCCTGGTACTGGTTCAGATACTAAACCTCTTTCTGATACAACCTCAACACCCGCACCGATTGTTCCAGCGGTTACATGTCCATCTTATGCACAAATTCAGCGGAAGAAACAAGAGCCATTATCTGAGGGTCATAGAAAATTTCCATATTCTCGCCCTTCACAGGAATGCCGGACATTCAATCTTCCTTCGTTAGAAAAGCTCATCGAGCAGATGAAAACGATTATCAAGGACCCAGATCTCTTCCGGCTTTTTGAAAATAGTTATCCAAATACATTGGATACTACAATTAAATGGCGAGGGTACGCAAACAAGATCGATCCAGTTACACAAAACGAGACAGCGACAGACGAAGAGCTCACATTTGTTATCACTGGTGATATTGATGCTATGTGGTTGAGGGATTCTGCATCTCAAATCTATTCCTATCTCCCATTACTGGAAGCTTCTGATAATCGAGATTCTCTTGCAAGTCTATGGCGTGGTCTCATCAATTTACACGCACGATATATCATTATATCACCATACTGTCATAGTTTCCAACCTCCACCGGAATCAGGTCTCCAACTTCAAACCAATGGAGCGTATCATCAAAATCATCCCATGCCAGCCTATGACCCCGAGAAAGTCTTTGACTGTAAATGGGAACTCGATTCCCTGGCCTCCTTTCTCCAAGTCTCATCGGCCTATTATCAGCGCACAAACGATTTGTCATTCTTTCAAAAATATTCCTGGATCGATGCTGTTCAAGCAGCTGTAGATGCCGCCGGTGCAATGAGACTGGGAACGTATTCCTCTGAAGGCAAAGTTCAAAAATCCGCATGGACATTTACAGGTTGGACAAACCGCGGCAGCGAGACTCTGACAAATGATGGTCTGGGTAACCCTACGAAACAGAACGGAATGGTGAGAAGCGCATTTCGACCTTCAGATGACGCATGTATCTATCAATTATTGGTACCCGCAAATATGATGTGGGCTAAATACCTAGAAGAGGCATCTATCATTATGGAACAATTATCTGGCGAAAAGGCTGCCAAACTGACCACCTCCATGCGAGAGCAAGCACTCGGAATAAGAAAAGCCATATATCGCGATGCCATAACTCATCACTGGAAATTTGGCGATATTTATGCCTATGAAATCGACGGCTTTGGCGGCCATAATTTGATGGATGATGCCAATGTCCCTTCACTATTAGCTATCCCTCTTTGGGACTACGAAAACTCTTCATTTCCCCTCCCTGAACTATTTGAAAGTGACGGAGAGCAAGGTGGTAAAAGAACAAAAGTTGATCATGCAAAGATCTATAATAACACTCGAAATTTCGTCCTAAGTCAAGAGAATCCCTATTTCATGCAAGGGCCATCCATTGCCGCAGTAGGTGGCCCTCATCTTGGTCCAGGCAAAAGTTGGCCTATGGCAGCTATTGTACGCGCCCTGACTGCCATGGAAACAGCATCAAGATTGGGTAAAGGAATAGAAGATGTGGAGAAAGAAGTGGTAGAACAGGTAATGATGGTTTTAGATAGTACCGGAGGTACGGGTGTAATCCATGAGAGCGTCAACTCGTGGAATGCAAATGATTGGACAAGAGCTTGGTTTGGATGGGCGAATGGACTTTTTGGGGAATTGATTATGCGAATTTCAAGAGAGGATCAGAAGGCCGGGAGAGGAGGTGGAGGGTTATTGGGGAGAAGCTGGCAGACAGATGAGGGTGTCAAGGCGAGTAATTGAGTTTTGCCATGTGATAGAAATTGGGATGGATGGATGGCGTTTGGTGAAATTGGCATATGGGACTGTGTTTTTGGATACACTTCGTCGTGTATTGAAGACTAGGTAGCTTTGGATAATTTGGCGAAAATTTAGTTGGACAAAATAATTGAGTATGGCATTACAAAAATGTTCCTTGTTGCTAATATGCCAACCATATGGGAAAAGATAGCTGAACTGTGTCCCATCTAAATAGCACAGGAAGTTCTTCATTTCTCGCGTTCGTCTCTCTATGGCGCTCGACGCCGTTCTGTACATCACCCTCCACTTGGCATCTCGTCCCCCCATCCACGAGCTTGCAATTTTGCCTCCTTTATCCTCATCTATCAGCAATTCAACACCCTATTCCTTCAGTCTCCTATACACAGAGCATCCCACTCATTACCCAACGCATCTTCCATCATCTATCTCCACAACACCCTCAACTCAACCCCCACTCCAAGACTTAAAGTAAATAAATTAACATCACAACCATCCCACCCGCAAAAAAGAGAAACATGATTCCCCGGTGTAGAAAATTAAGAAATCAGGATTCGAGTGCGTGAAGCGACATTTTGCCTGCTTTCTTTGATATACCATGAGATGGAAGCTGAGAATAATTCAAAAAACTTCTTTCAGGTTGGTGATCAGAGCGAGTGTATTTACGTCTCTATTTCAAGATGATTCTCTTTCACAGCGTATGGGCATTTGTAAGGCGAGACCTCTTTGGACTGGATTGAAGACTGAAGGAAACACCAAATGATCTTTTATTCTATGATATACGAGATGCTTTGTATGAATCGTGCGATGCAACATGTACCAATTTTCAGTATCGAGCCCGAATCTCACGATTGATTACATTGAAAATATGTAAGATCTTACAGTAATACGTAGATACCAACCAAGTGTTTCTCACATAATCTTACCAACCTCTGGAAGTAAGCGTCACTCTGTCCGGTATCGCTCGGCCGTTCAATTACCATAGATTTCGTAATGAATCAAAGCAATCGAAGATACATCTACAGCATTAGTTCGTGATATTACCAAATATCCGCATGATATACTATGAATACTCCTCATCTTGAATTTCTGGACAAGTTTGGAATATCCTAGGATTTACATACATATACCGTGTAATTTCGCATGTTATTGTACCAACATCAGACAGTTGATTGTAAAGAACTCAATAGGTTGATAGTCACAAGGGAGTGTTTGTTCGTGAAATGGATTAGTTCGGGCAATTTGATAATATTCTTCAAGAGTTAGGCGCAAGCGAGCAATTGAATTTGAGATAAAACCTATCAGAGCTTCTTTTAAATTGATATTATGGCTGAGATCTGCCTGATAACTTTCTTTCATTAATCTCAGCTCCTATCCGCCCATAAGAACAAGTTTAAATTTCAGTGACGACAGCACCTGAAAATCAAATGAACCACCAAAGAATTGAAGCAAAGCATTGATCCAACCACAACTCCCATATCTCATATCCTGACTTCCTGGTAGAGTTCCACGCTCGTCTCCCCTGCTTCCTTTCATTTTTTCCCCTTTTCATTTTCTCTATTCGCCCTCTTCATGGCCCTTTTTGCCTCCCTATACAGCCTCATCCTCTCACTCCCTAATGGCCCGTGTCTCCTCCCATCCGCTGCCTGTTTTAGTAGCGGTAACTGTATTATGGCCGAAAAAGTATCAAAAACTTTTTGGATGGGTTCATTATGTCTAGCCGCAACTTCTGCAAATGGAAATGTGTCTTGGCTCGTTTGCGCTATGTCTATGATTCTGGGTGTGTGTTAAATAAGGACCTTATATATAGACATGAGAAGAGAGGGAACTTACAAATTTAGGGAGTGTTTAGATGAAGACGCAGACGCGGATGTGGATGTTTTTCGTCTTGAAGGATTTGGGACAGGAGTTTGCAGAGGAGATGAGATAGAATCTAGCGTGTGGGAAGCAGTAGGTTTCGCTTGTCGAGTTGCGTTGATGTGTGGAGAAAGTGTCTCGTTGCGTTCGATGTCGCCGGTCGGATTTTGACGTTCGCCGAGAGTTGTCGAGGGTGAAGCTTTGTTGTTATCCATCGAATGTGGCCACGCAGGTATTCTATATAGAGAAGGTTTGCGTCTTATATCTGCTGCAGTCACCTGGGGACGAGGAACTGGAGAAGGACAAGTATGTCTCACCAGTGTGACTGAATGTGTTGGTTGAGAATATGTCGCAGAATTTGATGAAATTATCGAAGGCTGCACAGGACAGGTATCTGTGGAAGAGGTAGACATCTTTGTAGGCATGTGACGTAATTGCGAAACTAAATTTGGTTGAATTGAAGGATATGAAGCCGGTGCGGTTTCAGTTGTAAGAGGTATTGTTTTGGGTGACACCATTTCTTGCACGTATCTCTCGCCGGGGGCGGTTCCGATGAGAACTTGTCGCGAGTTGACAAAATTCGGGTCACCGACACCAAAATAATATTTGCGGTGCCAGTCCGGGTCGTTGTTGATGTTAGAAAACATACTTGCTCGTGAATCAATAGATGGTGCGCACTTTGGAGGTGAGTAATTTAATGGTTTCCAGGAAAAGTCCTGCCAACCAGGTATAACCGGCCGATGTGGCGGAAGAGGGAGAGGCACTCCTCCGAAAGTAGTTGGCAAATTTGGATCTTCTAAAAAGTCCACAAATCCCGTATGTCCATAAAGGGGGCTAGTATTCGAGTGAGAAGGTAAGGCCTTCAGTCTTGGCAGATACATAGATGCTGGAGGCATGTATAGAGACACTTGATTTGAATTTTCAGTTGAATCATGATGCTTTCTTTTTTTCACATGATCTTGCTCTGGTGTTGTGGAAGTTGTGGATTCTGCATTATAATGCGGTGACGTTGGTGACGGTGGCGGAAGTATGGATTTGGCATACCAAGGTGGTGGGATTTTGAACGGTATAGTTTGAGAAATATGTGAAGGAGATATCACGGGTATCCCCGACTGTGCAGGATTCAATGGCCGTAGAGAGGTATCTAATTCGGCGGTTTTATACATTGCTTCGACAGAATGGCATCTAGCTCTGTTCATCTCATCAGGTTCCGAGCAATGATCAAGCGAAGGAGCCATATCAGGTACGAGCTTTTCTGGTGATGGGCGAGCACCTATAATTACGGCGCTCGAAATGGGACTAGCCGAGCTGGTATGAGTCTGTTGTGATGGAAGCTCAAGCCTAGTAAATGCTTTGCTTAGAATGAATCCACTAGCATGGGACTTTGTCATACCTTCTGTGCCTTTTCTTCCTTCGTCGAGGGACTGAAAACACAAACTCTACTTCATCATCTGAAGATTCTGGGACTGATCGCTCCGGTAGAAGTCTCTCTGGCACTTGCTGAGTGGTTTCACTAGCTAGAATAGATTGATGATCAACCAAACGGGCTGAATTGTCTGTCAGAGGCGCTAAATTACAATAAGATTCCAAACCGGAAGCAGTTTGAGGGGAGATAGCGCTCTGTGTATTAGCCTGTTCAACTTCGGCCATCATGAAGAGGGAGTGGAGGCTAGGGAGTTAAGAACTTTAGAAAAGAAGAAGATATTGAGGATATAAAATTGGGACATAGATTGGGCAAAGACACAAAGGTTGATGAAGAGCTTAACATCTTTATTATACCATCTTACCGTGTTTGATACCAATCTCCATACTAATAATAAAGGTATCTGCATTTCACAATAAGTAAAACCACCCAGTGCTTGAACAGACATCTTGTTTTGGCTTGTTCGTTTCTAGGTAGTCATGCCATTGTCTTTATAGGTTGAGGAATAAGAAAGCTCATAGATCAATGTAAGCTCTATGCATGAGATCTAGATAGACAAAGAGTAAAGGAACGACAAGAAGCTGTGGGGTTTTGATTCATCAAAAATGATATGTTCTTGAGATGTGCATTATTGAAAGATTAATGTGTTTTATCAGTGAGTAGATCATATCAGTGAATAGATTATTTCGAAAATCATTTAAATTAAACTTCTTAAAATTTTAATATTTTAATAACTAATCATTATTTTTTTAAATAAAAGATTTTAAAAAATAATTGAAATCTAGATTTTCTATTAATCTAATTTTTATAATATGTTTTATTAGTGAGTAGTTTATATTAGTAAATAGATTATTTCGAAAATCATTTAAATCAAATTTCTTAAGATATTAATATTTTAATAATTAATGATTATTTTTTAAAGAAAAGATCTTAAAAATTAATTAAAATCTAGATTTTCTATTAATTTAATTTTTATAAAATAGTTTTATCATTTTCTAAAAAAAAGAGGAAATTATTACGATTTTTATTACAAAACAACTATTTCTATAATAATAGCTTTATAAATTCGAATTTTCTAAAACTAATTAGATTTTTGAGATTCTTATATATTCAAATATTTTATATCAAATTTTCAAAAAATTATATTTATAAATAAAGAAAGTATATAATTATATATAGACGAATTTTGTATATAAAATAAGTGATTTATTTATTGATATAATTTATTCACTGATAAAACACGTTATTGGAAAATCTGATTTTATGTGCCTATTATACTCAGCAGATAATTTAGATGCCAAAGCCAAGCTTTATTAACCATAGGTACCTACCTACTGGAGGCTGGTAGCACACTCGCGGCATTATCAATTAACCGTAATTTAACCGATACAATCGATAAAGCTCCTGCCAAACTAATCTCCCACTAAATCAATGACATACCAGACAAATAAACAAAAAGGCTGATTCATAAACACATCTAACTTCTTTTAACTTATCACAGAACTATCAAAACTGTCTGTCTTCATTGCTGAGTGCTTTTACAAGTTTCATAATGGCTGTTGACAACCATAATTCCTTACTTTCAACACAGAAGTCGTCCGATACCAGTCTCCAGGTAGCTCTCCATCCCCTCGTTCTCCTTACAATTTCAGACTATATTACAAGACACACTCTGCGACAACAAACTGGACCTGTAGTTGGAGCCCTGCTGGGTCAACAGAATGGTCGCGAAATCACTATTGAGCATGCATTCGAATGTCTGCTTACTACAGAGGAAGATGAAGTAAAGCTATCACCATTATGGTTCGAGAAAAGATTACAACAAAGTATGTACAACCTAACTTGAGTGGGCGATTTCTTTCATACTTACTTTCTACAGTGAAGGATGTTCATAAAGTCCCTGCACTTGATCTTGTTGGTTGGTACACTATCATTCCTAACTCTGGACCACAATCCATACATCTTCCTATTCATCGACAAATCCTCTCTACATACAATGAGTCTGCCATTCTACTCGGGTTTCACCCCGAGGAAGTACTCGGTGGCGCAGTTGGCGGAAAGTTACCTCTCACGATATATGAAAGCAACTACGAGGCAGAGGAAAGCGGCGTAGAGACTGGGGAGGACAAGGAAATGGAAGACGAGGAACCACAACTCAAGCTCAAATTCAAGGAACTCCCATTCACCGTAGAGACTGGCGAAGCAGAAATGATCAGCGTTGATTTCGTGGCTCGTGGTGGAGGAAATGCTACAGCTGTGAACGGTACTAGCAAGAAAATTACGATTGTGGAAGGTAAAGGAAAGGGCAAAGGCAAAGAAAAGTCCAAAGACTCAGATACCTCGAAACGCGAAGAAAGCAGTCTATCACGAGAAGACGAAGAACAACTTGCCTCCTTGACTGCAAAGGCAAATGCTATCAAGATGCTTCAATCCCGAATCAATTTGGTCGCCGCTTACCTCCGAAACCTTCCTCCCTCGTATGTGGCCGACGGCGTTGTCTCGGAAGCAGATATCGAATCGAAGAATTTTGCACCAGTCAATCATTCGATTCTTCGGTCTATTCAAGCCCTTCTCGGTCGTCTTACTGTTCTTATACCCGCCGACAGTCAAGGTTTCGAACACGAACTCATCTCTGAGAAGAACGATGTCAGCCTTATCTCCCTCCTCAGCGAGCTCACGAAATCAGCGCATGATATCAGAGAAACAGGAAAGAAATTTGCCGTTGTAGAGAACGGAAAGGCTAGCGGAATGAAGCGCCCTGGAATGGGTTGGGGTGACCAAGGCCATCCAATGCGAGAAGTAATGCATGCTGGAGATTTAATGTCATAGGATAGCTTTCCCCCATGATTTCAACGGCGTATTTCGGCTTGGGCGTATGAAGGTATGGGTAGGCATGCAGGTGGTGCGCGATTTACATTTTGAAGAAAAGGGAATCTGGCGTACTTGCATGAGGGATTTCAGATATTATGAGAATGAGAGTTACGAATGAACGAGAATTAGATAGGCAATGAATACCTGACCTGACATGAACATGAATTTTCGGCTTGCATATCTTATCTTGTGAAACACCGTCAACAGGGAAGTATGATTCGATGGATTGTTACACAATTGTGTGTTTGATTTGAGATGTAGTCGCACAACATTGTTACCAGATTTAGACACGGATATCTACATGGTACTCGTGCTTAAGAGGTGATTGAGAAACCAATATCACAACCTTGATGGATAGAAAGCGAATCTAGATGTTAAATGCGAGGTGGCATCATGGGGAAATCAGAAGTGTGGATATTATTGATCAGATATATTGGCTCAAGTAGGCCATAACCAAATGCTTTCTAAAAATCTTAATATTTGAAGCGAGTTTGAGTACCCATTTAGGAAAAGAGTATTGATCTCACGTGTGCTTGAGGTTTAGTCTAAGTAATATGTTATCAACATGAGCCGAAATTTGAATTTATCAATTGAATTGCAAATTTGCTTGATCTATCCATCTCCAGCTTCATAGCATGACGCCAACCCAATACCAGATATCTTTCTTTCACAGCAAAACACCAAATTCCATCCCTTCAACCACTTTCCCAGATTGACCTTTCAAAAGCTTACTAAATCGTGTATTTAAGAAAAGAACAGAAGAGAAATTCATTATATTCCCACAAAGGTCAAATAACTCCATTGTTTCCGCTTGTATGCTTCTATACCTCGATAACCACCTTTAAGATAAGATCCCCGTGCTCATCCGTCGTCTTCCCCGCCAACTCAAATGCTTGCTTCGCATTTCCGAGACCTTTAAATCGATGCGTAACCATGTTGTCCAAGCTCGGAAGACCTCCTTTCTTTCCGCTAGCACCTAACATTCTGATACCGGTTGGATACGTATTTGCGTATCTGAAGACGCCTAGGATATCTACTTCGCGGAGATGAGCAGCGGAGAGAGGGAGCGTTTGGATGGGTGTTCCCATGCCGACCATGATTACTTTTCCACCCGGTTTGGTGCTGTAGATGGCGGTTTGCATGCAAATTTCCTTACCGGTGCATTCAAAAGTTACGTCAGCGCCTTCGTGGTCGTCTTCGGCGAGAATATCATCTGGGGATGAAATGGAGAGGATGTCTGAAGCAGTGCACTTTGCAGAGTTGAGACGATCGGAGATGGTGGTATAGGAAGAGATAGGTGTCGTGGTTCCTGAAGCTAAAGAAGGCGTGGATGTTCCCGAGGAGGAAGCAGTGGAGAGAGCGCTGGAGTTGGAGCTAGAAGGAGGAATCACGTATCCGTGGGTAGCGAAACCATGGTCGAGGGCGTATTGGACCCGGTTCGCGGAGATGTCGGTTATCGATACAATAGGACAGCCAGATTGACGAGCCATGGCAGCGACGAGGAGGCCTACTGCTCCAGCCTGGTTATATTTTTAGCAAGTGATTAAAACTAATTGAGTAAAATCGGTGATGCATGGGGATTTCTTAAAGCAATGACTTACTCCGATGACAACGGCTGTGGATCCAGGTGTAGGTGCTGCTCGATTCACAGAATGAATTGCCACGGAGAGTGGTTCCAAAAGTGCAGCAGCGTCGAATGAGATATGATCCGGAAGCCTGAATGAAAGATCAGTAAGCTGCTTTGCTGATTTGCTGATTTGCTGCTTTGCTACAGTTGCCTTCATAGACTTTGAGAACATACTTGTGACACCAAACAGCTGGGTGATTGATCCTCTCTTGCAATGTCCCCTGAAAATGAGGTACACTTTTTGCACTACTCCTGAATCTCATCTTCTTGCAAAGGTTATATCTTCCTTTTCTACAGATATCACATTGACCACATGATATGCCCACCTCAAGGGCGACTCGGTCTCCAATAGCAAAGCCATTAACTTGTGGTCCGATCCCTACAACCACACCTGAAGCTTCATGACCAAGAGATAGAGGTGCACAAGCACATAAGTCGCCATTAGCGAACTTCTTGTAGTAGCTTACATCAGAGCCGCAGATGCCAGTCGATTTGATCTGGACTTGGAGTTCTCCGACAAGAGGTTCGGTGATATTACGAACTTCCTAAATCTTCAAAGTCAATTGGGGTGCTCTTGATATATTTATAGGTGTCTGAGTATAAGTGGGATGGGTTCTTCTTACCAATCTCACATCTTGTATTCCGTGTAGAACGCTACTAAGAATGCTAGACTTATTACTGACGTGGGATATGACCTCCACGTTCATCACATTTTCATTGTAAGCTGGCGCCATTTGAGATTGCTCTGTGTGATATCAAAGATATGAGGTAACAAAAATATCCTCTTATTGCTCTGATCAAGAAAGAAAAGCGTGGGGGCTTAATAAATTCTTCTATTTTCGCACTCTCCAAAGTAAACCCCCAAACTTATACCGTTTACCTTCTTCCCCTGGAGGAGAGATTGGCGCTCTCCTTGTCAAGTCACATAGCTTGTAGCTATCTACTCTATCATGATTCATTTCGATTGCAAGACATCTATCATGCAAATACCTAATCTATCATGTTGCTATCCATTGCGCAGTATACTCAGCAACAATCAATCCACTGGAATGTTGCGGACATGTGTATATCCCATGCATCTGTACCCTGCAGACGCAGGCACGGAAGCACACCACATCTTCATTGAATTCTGTGCTTCCAGCGGAGTCGGACCTTTGTATTAGGTACCTCCGCGATTGGAGTGAAATATACTTTATTTCATGTATATCCAAATATTGAAGATCCTGAAAAGATCGTATGAGGTGTAACGGCAGATAAAAGATACAACATTGCCGGATATCTTGCTGTAGCTAGATGTTGAAGATAGCTGTGTGGCCAGAAGTATGTTCCGGCCCCTCACTTGACGCTTATCCTAGTAACTGGTACATCGCCCATTACTTTGCGTTGTTTATCGGTGTGCAGCGTACATCGTTGAAGTGACAAGACGTACATATCAACTAATGTCTTGAAAAGTCAACAATACATTATACATGCCGGATATAAAGATATTAGAGGCCTGGGTCCGATAAGACGTCGAATACAACCAATCCCACAGCTCCATTCGCATCTATGAGAGAGTGGAGAAACTTAATGGAGCATTGATTTCCCTAGATGATACGTGATTAGTCGTCACCAAACTTCAAACACGGACAATCATTTTCCTCCATACCCCAGATTCTTCCCAACCTTATTAGATTAACATCGGAGTATCGGTGCAATCACCACAGAACTCTTCTCGATCGTCGATTTACCCGTTTGATGGGTTCTTTTGTGATGAAAAAAGTTGATAGAGATATTGATATCCTGGATGGCGCATTCCTCGAATTCATGAAAATTCGGTAAGGCTGGTGGATGTATCAGGAATGGCATAATACTGATAGGAATATTCGTAAACGGCGATATTGAATATTTTACGCCGATAAGCAGAGCCAAGATGTGATACCAAGTTCGTCATGACACACACACTGGGTAATTTTTCGCATTTCCTAATCTTTATTCGAAGAAACCCACTTTCATGCAGAATTGAGGTGGCAATGGTGAATTGAGGAGCAGCGAATGGATGTTCAACCCAAGCTGAAAAAGAGCAAGTATCCGAAGGGGAGTCAAGAAAAAGTAAGAAAAATCAAGTACTTGGATACAAAGACAAGAAGAGTTAGATTATTAGATAGCTTATTATGCCCCTCTTCGGAAGAACACGGCCCGTATGCCTGATGTTGTGTAGAAATGCATTCTCCCTCCACAACGTCGCATTTTTTAATTCCGGGTGGTAGATTGATGTTTTGATCCTACTGGAGAGGATGATATGATGAGAGGGTAGATCGTAACCTTTGGTCGTTGAGAGAGTTTCTGTGACGTGGCTAAAGCTGCTGCATGTTCTCTTAAAATTCAAGAGTCTGAAGAAATTAGATATGTGATACAGAAAAGCTTATCAAATTGTTTTCAATGAATCTTGTGGCACATGTTTAATATGATACAAGGAAATCTACTTTTCAGAGGAGTGTCGTTGGGTGTTGTACGAACCAAAGGCCTGGTTCGGATTGATTTTGGGCTTGCTTATCCATTCACAAGGGTAATGTAAGGTAATGTAATGTAATATAATTAATGTAATCATCTTGATTAGCGAAAGATACTAAAAGGCGTATATGCATTTAACCGGGAGCCCTGGAAACTTTTCAAGGGTCTAGCGGATTTGCGGCTCATTTTTAAGTGATATATATGCAATGGGTGCATACTAAACTACGAGAAGCAAGCATCTACTTAAGCGGTGAGGGAACCTACCTGGCCATTTTGGATGGTACCCAAATGATCTTGTCAAATATTCTCAAGTAGTATCAAAAACATACATGATGCCAGTAGCTTAACGGATAAAGTCGCACAAAAATTATTGTATTGCATACACTTTGCATGAACGATACAGATTTGGGGTGATACAATGGGTGTGACCAGGGTCCTTTTCTCGGATCATAATACCGGAAAAGTTTCTTGCTAAGAAGAATTCTCGGCAATAGACCACTTCATAGAACATTAGCCAATCTCGACGCCGCATTTCTTGCATCAACTCGGTCCTCGTCATCTTCTTCTTTTAAGCCCGGCAATCCACCAGTGCTGCCACTGAGCGACCTATCACGACCCACGCCTTCTTCTTCGCCATTTGCGCCGTCGGGAGTAGACATAAAACTGCCTGAAATACTCCGGCTAAGTCCATCGGGGCGTCTTGGAACACCAGACCACGAATCACCTTTGGGACCTTGACTGGCTGCAAGACTGGCTCTCCTTGCTGCGGGGTGTGATTCCCTACCCAACCGGCTAAGTCCACCAGAAGAATCGATCGCTCGTATATCAGGTCTAATGCTTTCCAAGGTCGCCAGCGTCCGTCGCTCCGCTTCAATTTCACGAATCACATATTCTCGAATGCTTAATCTTAGATCTGCAGCAGTCCGAGCGAACCATCTTCGTTGTTCAAGTAATAAGTTTGCTGTGACACGTTGGGTTTTATTGTGAAGATAGACTTCATTGCTGCGTGCTTCATCAAGTGCTGATATGGCTTCATCAACCTTTTCCCTTCGGACAGATGAGCTGGCCTTTAAGCGGTCTGCAGCATTGAGCTTGCTTCGGGTTAATTGCTGAGCCTGTAGTAACTCGCGCAGAAGTATGTGTCGGTTTGTGAGAGTTTCTTTGACAATAAATGAATCTTGAGAGTGATACTGAAGAGGATCACCTATGGTTGTGGCTTCAGCAGTACCTTGTGCTGCATGGAAATCTCCTGTACTTTGGATTGTCTTTCCAAGCTTACGGTATGCATTAGCAAGGCCTTGGTGAGGCTCTTGGATATTCATTGCGCCCAATTTGACACCGAAATCGGACTCCGCTAAACCAAGACCTGTTTACACATTAGTATTTGGATATACAACTGTCATGTGACAACCTACCTCGTCTTGCTTTGACCAATTTGTCTACCTTGTGACCTGCATCCATCGTTCCTAGGTAAAAGAGCTTCACCACCGGCCTTGCATCTTGTAATTCTGGCGTATCATCGGGCGGAGGTGCAAATTGCTTGATAACTCTTCGGCGAACTCCAGTAGCTGGTTGCTTTCGCTTCAGCATTGGGCTGTATCCAAAATCGCTCTCAACAAACAGAACCATCTCATCATCCCTCATTAATACGTCATTGGAGCAAACATAATTGAGCCATCTTTGGAGAGAAGCTTTAACGCGCGCTTCATCCTCATCAGTGCCAGCACCAGCAGATGTTAACGCGGGAGGAACTGCAGGAACTATAGCTTCCGGATTTGAGGATATTAAATGATCTGCTAACTTGATGAATTCGGAATGCGTTCGTCGGACATCGCGAAATTGTGTTGTTCTAAATTTTGGAAGATTGGTCTACACAGTCAGTTAGCCAAGACCACAGCTACACATCTCTTGACCGATGACTTACGTGTACATCAAATCGCAAGATAGGGTCTTTCCTCCCGGTGCGCTCCAGTCCAGTGATTTTTGCTTGCAGCTTATAATGAGGTGCCGGGGGATGGTGCCCTTGTCGCGCAGTAGAGTGATGATATCTCTGAGGTTCCGGCCTATGTTGGCCCGCTGGATACTGTTGCTGTGGAGCTGATTGCTGTTGATATTGTGCAAAACCTTGCTGTGCCTCGGCCTCGCTTTGACTTGATTCAACAGTGTCAGGTCTGCGACTTTCGGCATCAGAAAGCGATGCACCGCCACTGCTATCGGGTCGATTGAAACCTCCAGTCCCCATTATATCTTCTTGCGAATAGCCTGCACCGCCTTGTTGATCCGGGTTATACGGTGTCGGTGACACAATATCTCTGGGTGGAAATGTGCTGGTTTTTGGATGCTGTGGTGAGCCAGTGGGGGAGGATCCCCAAGGAGAAGCACCCGCAGGATTATCTGCATCATTGATCGAGGCAGAATAATCCATGATGATGAATGGCGCGACCCTTTAGTATGTAAGACGATAAGCTAGAGTCAACAAAATAAGAACGTAGCAATTATTGGATCAAAAAGAACTTTTGTATTTGAACTGGTGCATCTGGGTATTTCATAAACTCGTAGAAAACATGTAGAAAGACGGCAAATCAAACAATCAATCCAGGTTGATTAGAGCTTCCGCTGAAGTAGGTAGGTATTGAGAAGAGTTCCCAGGTTCGGCCGCTCCGTCGTCTGGCTTATTCCGCCGTTGAACTTCGAGCCTCAGGCACAAATTAGTAATCCATCATTATTCTCCTTTGGGCGTCTGAAATTATAGTGCGAAGAGCATTTATATCTTCAATTATTGAGGGGATGGTCTTGTTGGTATCAAAAAGAGGGTGTCGAGTATGGCATCGATACTTGACACAAGTTTCACGACCTTGTCTGGCTAGGTCTAATCAATTGAATGCATTCATTCGTTATAATTCCCAGCAAACCGAAAGTCATGAAGCGTTAACAAAGACAACTCGAAATATTGGCATCATAGCTCATATCGATGCAGTAAGTTTCATTGGTCTCGTCTGATAATTTTTCTGATTTCAAAAGGGCAAAACGACAACTACTGAGCGTATGCTCTATTACAGTGGCTATACTCGACGCATAGGAGGTAGGTATGATTATACTAGTCACATGATCACCATGAATATAATCTAATAGATCTATCAGACGTTGATGATGGTTCTACCGTCACAGACTTCCTCCCCGCCGAGAGAGCTAGAGGTATCACTATCCAGTCCGCAGCCGTTACGATGCATTGGCCCCCTGTAGCTGAGAAAGATACATCCTCGAAAGCGTCTGACCCATCTCGATCATCCATATCGCATACTCTCAATCTGATTGATACTCCCGGGCACGCGGATTTCACGTTCGAAGTGCTTCGTTCTTTGAGAATTCTTGATGGTGCTGTATGCATTCTTGATGGTGTGGCAGGAGTTGAGGCTCAAACAGAGAAAGTATGGAAACAGGCAAATAATTATAGTATTCCTAGGATTGCTTTCGTCAATAAGCTTGATCGTGAAGGGGCTGCCTTCGCGAGAACAGTAAAAGAGATTGGTTCGAGGCTCCGGGGCTGGCCTGCAGTGTGTCAAATTCCATGGTGGGAAGGTGGGAAAGGAAAGTTTATGGGAGTCGGTGATGCGGTCAATCTTTGTGCTCTAAAATGGGAAGAAGGTGGGGATGGCAAATCAATTCAACATTTCACTCTTGATCAGCTGAAGAGAGACAATCCTAAATTTGCTGAAGAAATCACCAAAGCGCGAGCTGCGCTTGTAGAAGCGTTATGCGAATTTGATGAAGGGCTTCTTGAAACCTGGCTGGAGTGTAACGATGACAGTCTGCTTATATCATCGACGGCCATTACAAAGAGTTTGCGAAAATGCGTACTCGATGGTTCCGGTAAACTCATACCTGTCTTTGCTGGGGCTAGTTTCCGGAATATCGGTGTTCAACCGCTTCTTGATGCCATCAACAATCTTCTGCCAAACCCTACCGAAAGGCCTGACCCAGAAGTTCGACTTGGAAACGTTCATGGCAGTCTATCTCAACTTCTACACGGAAAGCTAGATCTTACCGCGGCGCAACCAAGACATATCTCGAAAAAATCCAATGCGCGGACTTCCCTCATTTCCCAGGTCGAAGCTTGTGCCCTTGCTTTCAAGGTGGTTAATGATCCTCGGCGCGGCGTGTTGGTCTACATCAGGGTATACTCCGGTACAGTCAAGCGGAACACTACCTTGTGGAACACAAATCTTCACGTTTCAGAAAGAGCCCAAAGACTGTTACAGATGTACGCATCTGACGCGGTAGAGATACAAAACATTCCCTCCGGCCAGATTGGCGTTATTGCCGGCTTGAAATACGCTCGTACAGGCGACACTTTATTGTCATATACAGGTGCTCATCCAAAGAATGGCCCGCCACCACCTCTAAATACTCTTCAACTGAGACCGATCAATGTTCCTCCACCAGTATTTTTCGCCGCTATTGAGCCTCACAGTCTAAGCGAAGAAAAAAATGTTGCTGAAATATTACAGCTCTTATTGAGGGAAGACCCAAGTCTCCATGTTAATATTGATGAAGAATCTGGGCAAATGCAGTTGAGTGGAATGGGCGAGCTACATCTTGAGATCGCAAAGGATCGACTCGTGAATGATTTCAAAGCCAAGGCAACCATGGGCAATATCGAAATCGGGTACCGGGAATGTGTAATTTCTCCAACACCACCTCACAAATGTGTATTTGATCGTGAAGTTGCTGGGAAAAAAGGAAAAGCAGGCTGCGAAGCTAGTATCCGCCCCGACGAGCAGCCGCTAGAAGATTCTGATCATACCATGAATATTGATGGAAATACAATCACAATCCGCATCCCGAAATCTGCTAAGAATGATGGAGGTGATGGAACTCTGACACTCCCCTCCGATATGACCCTCAGCGAAGTTCATACAGCATTAATCAATGGGGCTGTTGCTGGTCTAGCCCGTGGTCCACGTCGTGCATTCCCTCTTCATTCTGCACATGTGTTATTGAAGTTTGATACTGTTGAGGATGTCTTTGGTTCCGACACCACATCTGCCGCATTATCTTCTGCATCAAGAAATGCCGTGCAAGCTGCTCTCAAAGAATCGTTCCAAGCAAACTCCATCGGACTAATGGAACCAGTCATGAATGTGGTTATTAGTTGCGACGAATCGTCCCTTGGTGCAATTGTGCACGATCTTTCATCAGCTCGTGGTGGTCATGTCTTATCACTTGAGAATGACAGTGATGTAGAAGATGCAGAAAATGAGCTGGCACCAATTGATATCTCAAGAGTCTATACTCCTCCAGATCCATTCGCGTCGGGAGCCAGCACTGATTCATCGAGTCCTGGCCAGCAGCGCCAAATTACTGCCAGGGTACCATTGAAAGAAATGGTTGGATATCTGAAGCATTTGAGGAGTATGACTGGTGGTAGAGGAACATTTGTCATGAGCGTTGACAGGTTTGAAAGACTTTCGGGGCCAAGAGAAAAGGCCTTGTAGTACATACATAAATTGCAAGAAACTTAGTAATAAATGATATGCTTTATGTGTTTGTATTGGCATTATCTTTGTCTTGGACGCTTGAATGATATTAGTGGTCCCCTATTCTCAAGACTCTTTTCCTGCTTATATAGCCACATCTCCTTTTACCGTCTTCTGAGTATTACATCACTTGAACACTTGTCGGTCTGCATTACTAACTTGTATTCCACTTGCTTCTTCCTGTGAAAAGTAGTATCTCGATTTTTCAACCGACCGACCACTCGTATGCCATTTAAATCATTCCTCGCTCTATCAATATCACATATCATCACAAGAGCTACTGGTGCTATCGCTTCTTTCCCTACCCGTTTATATTTCTCTGTTCGCGCAGCCTATCTCTTCACATCCGCAAAAGAATGAGTGCGCTCCAGCATGATCATGATCATCATTCATCTCCCTCTCTCACTCCCAACACAGTACTGCCCAACACCCACAAGACGTAACAACATTCCGAGCCAGGAACCTTTCCACTAGTACCCACGCCTTTACTAATAATCCGATTCCCATCTATTAATCTCTGGAGTTCCCCCACGAAGAAGACACATAATAAAAACGAGGAAAAACGAAAGAAAGAAAAAACCAAATAGCCGAACACTAGTCCTGATATCTATCTCTATCCATAAGCTATGAATTTCGGTAAATAATTGAACGCCTCTTAAACCCCTCTGTTATTTTAAATTTTACTTTTCAGATGGCAAAATGACTACCATGACATTCGCGAATGCGAGATTAAAACCGCCGAATAACGAACCTGATAAATCAATATTAACTTTACAGAAAGACCGTAAATCCATCCACCGCAACCCCTTTTAGTACCCCCTCAGCACAGACACGCAAACCAAGCATAATCTATCCTCCCAGTCCCCCATCTCCTACTCTTAACCTATACACCAAATACTCCTACACCCTCCTAAACCTCAACCCCCCCAAAACATCCAATTCTTCCACAAAATACACGAGATGATTTACCCATATATTACATCCTTCTATATAATTACCCTGAATCATCAATAATTGCCAATTTCCCCGCTCCGCTGTGGGTCTATTGATTGATTGATCCAAACCCCAAACTCATGAATATCATAACCTATCCATCACATCACACTGCACTCCTTTCCACGCACGGGATTACGGATTCAGAAATATGATATATATATATAAATATAAAAGAGGCAAAAAGTCGATGTATGTGTATAGATAGTATTCATCACTCCTCGGTGCTCATATAATACGAATACGGCATTTGGGAATCGAAAGTTAGAGAACCATATTTTTCAATCCTTAATTTTGGGGGGGATCTCCAAATCTAGGAAATTTGATATAAGGTTACTTGATAAAGAGATTGGATTCCCTACCTACTCTCTGGACTATCTATCCATAGAAAGAAAAAGGAGACCGTCTGTTTTCCGTAAAGTCAGTCTCGGAGCTATCTATCTCTCTTCTATCTATCAAGATTCAAGAAGCTCCGGAATACATATTCCCAAACTGCCTCTTAATATCACACACCACACAACACAACAAATTCCCTCCTCCTTGATCTCCTCACCCCTCGCCTCACGCCCCACGCCCCCTTTTCCTTCCCGAAGATTTACCGACTTCAAGATCCTCTCCCCTCCCCTCCCAGAAACCCCAAAAGCAAAACCATAACAAAGATAAAAAAGATAAAATAAAAGAACCATGGAAGCCATCGGCGCTCTCCTCATCGCCCTCTGCGTTCTCGGCATCGTCGGTCTGGGAATTGGTATCGTGGGGTATTTCCATACAGGTCGTCGATGATTTTGGGAGTTCTTTTTTTTCTGGAATGGATGCTAGAGGTCTCGCTTGGGGGTGCGAATTATGTTGATGTATTTTGGGATGGATAGGGGCTGTGGAGTGATGCGATGCGATGGTATGGGATGAGATGAGATGAGATGAGCTGTTGGCGGGGGTTTGTTTCTTCTTTACCTTTTCTGAGAAGATTGGGCAGAGAAGATATACTGGGGATCTCGTATAAGATGACGCAAGGCGCAAAGCGATGCATGCACTCAGCGTTGAGCAGAGGGAAGCGCATCAATGAGCCCAAGAAGGGAAGAAGGGAAAACAACGCAGGAAAGAAAGGAAAGAAACCAAAAATGAACGCCCAAATTCAGCAAAGAAAGACAGGCAAGAAATTCCACACAAGACAAACAACACAACCAATGCCGAACCCAAATCCAAGCCTCCCACCGATGAACCCCATCACAAAGAACCGACCTCTACCCACCCCAAAACACACCACCTAGGCAAAACTTATAAACAGATCGATAATACCAGTCTTACACTTGAGACTTTGGTGAAGCGTAGATACAGATCCTATCTCGCATCACATTACATCAATCATGGGAGAGAGAGAAATGCGATGTAAATTAATTTTCAATTTTGCGATTGATGATCTAATGTAATCAAGTAAAGTGTGAATCAAAGATTCTTCCACACAATGCATCTATCTCTATTTCCCATGCCTGTCTATGAAGTATGCACAAAAACGCCCATGGTACTCCCCCAAGTATGTACAGAGTAGAGTGGTATCTTCCTTTCTTTTCGCATTCCTTTAAAACGCCGTTTTCCATAAACTCAAAACCCAACCCAATCACAAAATCACATCCTCAATCTACCCCCTAAATAACCTCTTCCCTCTCCCATCCCAAAGGCTTCAGACTCTCAATTCCCTTTCCGGGTTTTTCTTCTCTCTCCTTCCCATACACACTCACAAACGGATTCGGATCCTCATCCTGCTTCAAGTTTCCCAACGTGTGATTAACTTCCCTATGCTTCGCCTCATCCGCTCGAATATAATACAGTAAGTCTCTCATGCTTCGATTTCCCTCCGGCATACCCCAATACTCGACCGCCAAATCCGGGGCTTTGAAATTTGGATCCGCCCACTTTGGAAGATGGCCATTTTCGAGATCTTGGATGGAGAGGGTATAAGTGAGGACTGCTTCTTCTTCGAGATAGCCGACGAAGCGATGACAGGTGCGGGGGGAAAAGAGGTAGCAGAGGAAGAAGGAATTGAAGAAGACGCCTTGGGCGCCAAGAATCATGGTGCGCATGAAGATGCCGGGTTCGTACATCTTAAGGAAGGTAAGAAGGTGCATGCGTTCATTGTATGCTAAAATTGAAACATTAGCCATCGATCTCCGAAAAACAAAAAAATTAATACAAAGACAGGGGAAACAAACCTTCTTCAAGCAACGTTTCAATCCAACCATTATCTCTCTTCAACCCCCTCAGACTCCTCAAATGTCTCAACATACCTGCCACCATTCCGGGCACTCCTGCCACCGATTCCAAAAACACATAACGAATCAGCCACTTCCGCTCACTCATCTGATATGGTTTTGTAGCCGTAAGTGCATTACTATCGGATGCTTTCTTGGGTTCTTCAACATTATGTTTATATCCCGTTGCAAAATCCGTACACCATCTCAGGAAACGGACCATTCCCAATGCGACACGATCGGAGAAATCTCGAGGTTTGCGATGTGCAAAGTAGACCTTACTACGCATTTGTTCGGCGGTATAGCTATTTTGATATTAGTATTCTGCTTTCGACCCGAAAACTCAAAGCAATGTTGGAAAGACATACGGTGGATGGGGCCAGGCAGGTTCCGTTCTCTTAATTTGTCCATGTTCAGGTTCTGGAAAGAGATCTCTTCCCATTACTTGGATTTTCGAAGCAGATGTGAATGCTCTTCTTGATGGTACATGTGCAGTACATGCGTTCGACAACCCATATGATTGAGCAAAGAAAGCTACAGCTTTTGATAGCTGAGCTGCTGATTGATTTGAGAGGGGTCTTGTAGATACCCTTGATACATACATTGTAGTCATCAAGTATGTAATTGGAGTATGACTAAGTTGATTCAATGCGATGTGATACCAGCAAAAGGTATTAAAGTGTAGGTAGAAAGAAGTAAACAAGTATTTGAATGTTTGAATATATGAAAGTACTACTTATGAATTGCCACAAAGCAGGACGAAGGGCTACTTTTTATTTCACTCGAAAAAGAAAAAAGATGCGTATAGCAACAAGTGTATCAAGGATAAGCGGCTAGACAAGCTGACATAGCAAAGAAGAAGATACGGAACGCCGGTGGAAGGCTCATACCTGTTTCACTACAAATCTTCGAATTGCAGCGAAGAAGATTCGGAAGACCTGAAATTTCTCTTTGTATGACACTTGACCCAAGGATTTCCGTGGTCGGTGTTGGGTGCACATACTATCAGAGAATGATAAGACAACAAACAAACGCTAGAACGGGACTAATCAGCTCTTTCGCATTCTATTTTGGCATAACCTAATATGAGCCAAGCTTCAAATAATCGCCGAGAAGAGCAAATTCATCGGAATGCGATATTCAATTCGATCTTTCTAAGTGATTGAAAACGAAAACAAGGGATTTGAAAGGGATTTGAATCATTTGATATGCGCCCCACAAAACTCAGCCTTGTGGATCATCTGATCACATGATGTCAGTATATACGCTCGATACGAATACTTTAGGATTTTGTCGTAGCGGTTTTTTCCGATCATAGGGGCGCTGGACCCGAATGGATTTTTTGTCATCAAAGGGTCATAGGAAAGAAATTTTCAAAACATAGCTCAAAGTCAAGATAAAATTGGAGACAATAATGACTATGAGTACATGACTGTCAAGTTTTATCTTGGGTATGAGGTGCAATACAATTTGGTCCTAATCTTTTCGATTCTTCTCCTAAATCTGTTGATGTGCTGATGATGTATTGTCTGAATGAAAAAATCAAGACATATAGATAGATCGTCTCCAAGATACTCATGTTGATATCGCTCCGGCTATTCTTCATAAAATGTAATACGATCGGTCTCCATCTTTTCAGTATTGAGGGTTTGGTCGCCAAAATCTTTGCATTAAAATAGTCTCCGGAGCATTCCCGTCCTGACCTTCATCTGCTTCCCGGTATGAAGATAACGAAGGTCGGACTAATTGATCACCATGATACTCCATTTCATATTGTGGTTGTAAATCTTGCCGATTCTCCATCCAAGATTCCTGAAAGAAATGATTGTCGCTATCCCAAGGGTTGTATTCTGTCCTTCGAACATCTTGAAATTGGTAATCATTGGTTCGGAAATCGATATCGTAGCGAAGTCCGGCCATCTCGTGTCTTGATATTAACTCTTGATACGTATTTGCTTCTTGAGGCCCAAGCTCACAGAGATCGCCCATCTCAAGGACGTCTTCCACGCCGTAAGACATTCCCTGTTCCGTTTCTAACTCATCCCAGTTTTCTTCATAACCTTCCATGCCGGAGTGAGGTACTTGCACTTCGTATGATCCATATTCTTCAAGGTTTTCATTTGAAATATCGTTCGCAATCTGGTCTTCCCCCTGCTCCAATTCCATTTGATGAACATAAAGTGACGGAACTCGGATAAGGGGTGAACGCGAGGTAGATGGAATATGTTGCCTTGACAGATCACGATAACTTTCGTGTCCTCTCCCGGGCAGAGGCTGAGTTGAGGGTTGAAAATGATTCCTGCTTGAGTTGATGTGTGAAGTTGTCTTTAAAGGTGCAAATGCTCTGCCATTCACATTTGCCATTTTTACCGCGGGAGACTGCTTCCCTTCTTCATCCGCCATTTCAGTCTGGGAAAGCGGCTTTCTGCTGATAAAACTGGTCATTTCTCCTAATCCACCAGATCGACTCTGTTTGTCATGCTGGAATTGGGTGTTTGGCTGCAGAAACATCTCTTCGGATACTCGTGGCTCAACTACGACATTCTCTGGTCGCTCACTGTCATCCGTAGGGGATTTTTTCCTGCTCATATCTCTTTTCTCGTGTAATGGCTGAACAGGAGCGGATTCTGTTCGCTGTATTTCTTTTCCAGAGATACTAGACAATGACGAATGGGAATTTTCTCGACTTTCGTGGCTAGCTTCCCGGATTACTGGGAGGGTGGTTGATGGGCGTTTAATTTTAGCGTTACGTGCCATTTGTTGTCGAGTAAGTGGTGTTGTTGCAAGTGCAGCCGTTGACTTCGCATTGTGTTCTGGTGATTTGGAAGGTGGTCCAGATTCTTTCCCCCGGTGCCAGCCACGATTCAGATCATAGTACTCAATAACAGTTCTACGGAGTCTCTTGTCGCGAGCCTCAACCGCAACTGGATTGCTTTCTTTCAGAAATGGTTCCTCGATTTTATTTTGCATGTGCGATTGAATTTGAGGCAAACAATCGAGTTGCTGGAAATTTGAAGGCCGGTCAGTCTGATGGGAATTGATGGCAGAATCTGTGCCTAGGCTAGAAAACTCTCTGCTCGTCTCGACTAGACTGCCTATAGTAGATATGATATCTTTCCCTCCTAGCCCATGCAATTCCTCATTCATACGCTCTTGAATATTCGACTTCCATCGACTTGAACTTTCAATACCTGTATCCTTGAATATACCCGTTCTTTCGATAGAATTTCGTATTGAGTCCGGCGTTGCACTCATTTGCCTCTGACAACACTGTTCTCTTGCTCGACGTAAGGTCATAGTATCTCCAGGAGAATACTGGGACTCTGACCATGTCACAATGGTATCTGTAGTTTTGGAATGCACCTTGTGATTGCTAATGTCCTCGGAGTGAAGTTTGGGAGTAAGTTTCTCAGGGAACTTCAATTCATTGAAATGTACTTGCTGATCGCCAGAATCCATCAAATGTCTTCTTTTTTCATCAAAACGAGCTGCCGAGTTCTCTGTGTAGTACTGATATCGATCATCCTCACGGTCTTTTTTCAGTTGTCTCTCATGTAAAGAAACTTCAAATATTGAAGTTGGAGAAGTGGGATGGTCGATAGTAGGACTATTGTCCCTTACTGGGGTCTTGGATGGTTTGAAGAATTCTGCTATCTCATCTTGCGCTCGTGCAGCCTTTTTATTTTCCTTCGCACGACTTTTGGGAACCACAATAGAATCGTTGACCTGCGACCTCCTGCCAGAGCGTTGAAGGAATTCCATTTCCGAGAAAGCGAGGTCGGGTACTTACGAACAAGTTAGCGATTCTCTTCAAACAGCCTTATACTAATGAAACCTACATCCTCGTCGTCTCGGCGGAGAAGAAGCTCTACCATTTTGAAAGATTCCCGGGCCATTTGAAGGGCGTACCTGGCGCAATCAGTTCCTGAATCCCAAGGCCTTCAAGGATTTACTCACTGTTAAACGGTCTTTGCCTATCTTGTTCGATGCGAAATTGCTCATGAGATCCTTGCTAGCCTTTCTTGCAGCTTTTGACCGGTCTCCTCTCTTCTCGCGCCTTGTTCTGATTGATTTATCTACAGCTTCGACTTTATTGCTTTTCCTTTTTGTGTCATACCGATCCTCTCTTGTCTTATGGCGCGCTCTTTTCTCAAATGTTTCTTGCTTTAGCTGCACCACAGAAGATCTGGACGAGATAGAAGTTATAGTAGACGACACATTCCTTTGATGTTTGTGGGATCGATCTTTTTCCTTGACATTGCCACGGCTGGCGGGGTTTAACTTTGGAGGAATTTCAGTTCGTTTGTCTACCACTGGCATCCTTGAAGCTTCGAGTAAGGAACTATCAGATGATGCTTGCTCTTCATAGGACTTCGGTCTCGAATCTACGGTGCTTCTATACTCTCCAGGTCTATGTGCTGTATGATCATGACCCAAATTCTTTGATCTCTTCTGTGGGCGGCCTGAGTCTTGAGGAAGTGTCAGTGCATACAATCATGGGAGACTAGCATAAACTAGAACATTTGTTTACCTGTTTCAATAATGAATTGTTTTGGCGGTTCGATAATGTCCTCATTTTGAGTCTGCGCAAGCCAGTTGCGAACATAATCTTTGTTTGCAGATAGTTCATTTTGATCTCTAATTGCGAGTGGTTGTCTGTGTTCCACGGGTCTTTTTGGAGAAGAAATTCGATCATGCCTTGGACTTGTGCCACGGTTATTGTAATATTTGTGATGTTTTCGTGAGTCTACATGCCCATTTGCGTGCTCATGAGCATGTCTGCGCTTGCGCGAATGATGATCGCCTTCCATTGGCGAAAAAGCAAATATTGAAGAACGGTATGAATAGTAAAGGGTGAGCTTTTTAAATTGTGAACTGAAATAAAATGAAAGATTTTATGAACTTATCTGGATGAAACGAATGATGTACCTACATCGTGAGTAATCCCTTTTCCCAGCTTGAGGAAGGGACATTGTTGATAAGTGAAGAAGTGGAAGGTGCGATCCTACCGAATTTGCATTTAGGTACATTCAACTCAGAAAGAAACGTTAGGGAACATTGCCTATCAAACTAGTCGAATCGCTCAACCTGTCGTAAATGCATTCCCATCTACATCAAAACTCCTTGACATTGTGTTCCATGAAGGAGAGCATATCAAAGAATTTGCAGACCCATCGCCACATCAGCATCATCAGCATCATCATATCTCGCTACTGCTGAAGACGTTGATTCAAGCTGTCTTCTAATCCCTACTGACTGCTTCTGATTTTATCAAATCATATCAAAGAGCCAAGCTATTCCTAACACTCTATAGAAGTTAACCAGAGCCGCATATCTTCAAGATGTATCAGCAACGAGGAAGGATAAATAGCGGTGTGGGTGATTGCAGCCCTATCCCATCCTGCCCATATGCAAACATCAAATCGCAACGGCTTCTTCGTCTAGCTTTTGATCAGCTGTAGAGGAAAAGATGTGATAATGTTGATCTTAATCTCAATGTCGTCTATCCATCACCTGATTGGAAGAGAATGCGAGTGCTGTTGTGAGATGTGAGTTATCACGATAATCATCATACCTATCATACCTATCATACCCTTCGAGGCTTCCACGGGTAGGAAATGTTACACCAACATCCGCTCTATACCTACCTTCATCAACGATATAAAAATCTGATTATCTAGCATTTTCGTACGACCACTGCCACGACTCCCCGCATCAAATTACACGAATGAAAAGGCATTATCCAGATTCATCATGTCACCATCCGTCCGGTCTTGATTACCCGTAGACTTTAGACGAAGCACAAGTCTTTTTACTTTAATAACATACTTCGGCTCACTGGACCATTAATTATACTTCATTCGAAGCGTCGCATTGAGTTCTAGATTTGTCGGATTCTAATCCCCAGATAGTTTTCGGAGGGAGAAACTTCCCTTTTGGTAGAGAATCCTAGATCGGTATGCATCTCGCCGAATGAACATGTTATTTGAGTATAGCTTTGGGTGCACGTGGGTTGAATTTGATGCATGTAAGTTTCAAGGTTTGTCTGGAATCTGTATGCGGAAGATCGAAGATGGTAGAGACATTCAAGAGCATGATTGTGGGATGAATGGATGCTTTTTGCGAATTGGAGATGGAGAGGGTGAAAGGGATGAAAAGGATGCGAAGGATGCGAAGAAAAGATTGAACTGGGAAGCTCTCAAGCCATGTATGTACTGCCAATAAGTGGATGTGTGAATGGATGTGTCAACCAATGTGTGCGAACGAATTGAATTGGGTTTGTTGATGTTGTATTATTGAAAAGGAAAACTCGGTTGATTGAATAATAAAAAAGTAAATAAGTTCGTGTTCCATTGCTCTATCCCATATCAATCATTCTTTGGTGATAAGGCAGTGGGACATTATATTCGTGATTCATGTAATACTGGTAACTGTTTTGATGGTTTTTTGGACACCTACTGGTCCTTAACCTCGTCCTCGTCCTCATCCTCGTCCTCATCCTCAACTCTTCATGACTCCGAGCCTACCGGTACTGGATAATCCTCTAGAGAGAGTCTTTCCTCGTTCCACCTTGAACGCAGCACACCACACCACACCACACCACACCACACCATCTCAGAGCTGCAAGTTAAAAATGTGGCCACTGGCGAGAACCGTTGGTCGGAGTTTGTGGTTGTGCTCAGTGCTCAGTGCACAGTGCACGGCACTTGGACTATTTTAGAGTGAGAGCTCCACATCCACAGAAGACCCTTGAATCAAGTTTTACCCCACCTCAATCGATAGCAATCGATAGCAATGGATACCACCAAGGTAGAGGTAGCAATCCTGATCCCCAAGCTCCTGCTGATATTCACGCCGAATTCATCGTCTCGCACCGTCGTATGGTGTACTCTGCAGCGATGCCACTTGATAGCTCCATGGCTCCATGGCTCCATATCATCTTACTACCAATGCGGTAGTATCTGCATGTCTGCAGGTGTGATCTTTGGGGATTATGCATATGATAGGATGTTGGAATTCATACTAAATAAAGCTTACGAGCGATCGCATCATTGATTGGATTGGAGTTGGAAGGCTTGGAAGAGGTGGGTATGGACCAAGGTCATCAAGAAGAGCACAAGAATTCCCAAACATCTGGCCTCTACCTATAGAAGGGTCGAAGAATTGGTTGATCGTATGATAACACCGACTCTCGAGGCATTGTATATATTTATTAGGTGGGCAGATTGCAACATATCAATGCCGAAATTCGGAGATTCCTATACCTAGTAGCTAGGTAGGTACCTACGATGTATTTCATTATCCGGCCCAGGCAATTCTGCTAAATTCCTCCAGAGGAATATTGGGCAACAAAGGTAAAAGCCGAAGGAAGATCTCTTATATCAATTAGATACCCAAGCCAAGGATAGACCACAGCCAAAAGAAGCATTGCTTGGTTCCAATCAACAAGTAGTATAAATCAAAGCAAGGTTGCTAGTAAGCCATGGGCTTTTCCAGCCATCCATTGAGCATCATGGACACTTTCGATTTTGGCCTGTGTGCATGATGGAATAACTTGCTTTTTTGTTGCTGGCCGAATGTCACACAAGAAATCATACAGCTACCTAGCTACCTATTTGTATCGGTGGCCTGAAGTGAGAAGTGAACAGATATAAGAATAATTGCCTAATATAATTGCCCTTTTTCGATTACAAGAAGAATATATGACTCTACTGATTTCTTTAGAAACGTGACTTTTCCATTGGTTGAATATCTAGCATTGATGATAAATGAGTGAAGTATTCATGGAAAATCCAAAGCGGGTGATAATGTGGGATGAAGCTTGAGGTTGTTTTTGTTGTTGAGAACTGGAACTTGGTAGAAAAGAGTCGATCTAACTCAATCGGGAGTGGACCGTGAGCCCCCATCAAGGTGTGGTGAATGCAAGGGATCGAATCAAAGGTCAAGCTCGCTCATGGTATCTTCCTTCAAAATTCAAAATTCAATCTTCTTCTTTTCTTGAAAGGACGCTAGTGAATTGTATGGGAGGGGCAATAATACTAGGTAATCATATGTATGCAGTCTCTTTCAAATTCCCCCGCTTTGCGCTTAATAGCTCAGAAATCTTCCCTACCTACCTCAATTATTATCTTAAACCCTTTCTTCCACTACAACTTCATTCCTCTTCCTTACAAGTTACAACCTCAACTCTAAATACCTTCTTTCGCGATTTACCTTCGCATTCTTACATTTTATCAGATCGCACTGTCATTTCAGTCGTCCGATTGAATAATCCCTTTCCCACGATCTGTTATCTACGTCTCAGACCCGATACCTTTGACCAAATACCAACAAACAAAGAAATCTCGATATTTCACTTCAACTCGACACTCTAATCCTTCAAGAAGTTCGTCCGATTCTCCTGCTTGTGCTAGCTGACTTAACTGTCTTTTGCGATTTTGCTTCCAAATTCATTCCATATCACCCTTCCATTCCATCTCTCCGTTTTGCGGATTCCTGTTTTTGCCTCGATGTATCTTTCTTTGTGTGTTCCGTCCATCTCTCGTATACACAACTTCCGCCTGAAATGGCGCGATTCTTTTTGTGTGAATGCGTGCGGACATTGAGACTTTCAGCCAGGTTTTCGAGAATTATCTATCATGTCTAAATTATTCATTGGGTAAGTGCAAATCTTTACACTCCATTCAAACCATCACTTGACAGATTGACTAACACTTTCAATTAGTGGCCTTGCTTGGCACACAGATGAGAACGCTCTCCGTGAGAAGTTCTCTGAATTTGGAACTGTTGAGGAAGCAGTATGTTTTACGCTCCCTTCATTGATAAGCTCAACTGCAAGATTAGAAACTGATGTGATTAATACAGGTTGTTGTCAAGGACCGCGACACTGGTCGTAGCCGTGGCTTCGGCTTCGTTCGTTATGGACAAGGCAACCCCGACTCTTCCCCTGAGGCTGATGCTGAGAAGGCCATCCAAGAGATGAATAGCGTTGAGTATGTTTGTTCCAACATTCAGATTCCTAGACACAAGCTAATATACATATAGATTCGATGGCCGTACCATTCGTGTCGACAAAGCCTCCGAGCGCGCCGGCAATGACCGCTCAGGTGGTGGTGGCGGATTCGGTGGTGGCCGAGGTGGAGGAGGATATGGTGGCCGTGGTGGCGGTGGATATGGAGGTGGTGGTGGAGGATACGGAGGTGGTCGTGGATATGACAACAACTCCGGTGGTGGTGGTGGTGGTTACTCTGGAGGTGGTGGATACAATGGAGGTAAGATTCTCTCCGATGATTTCTCATTCAGTGGTCGCACAACTTTACTGACGGTTTATGATATAGGTGGTGGATACTCTGGTGGCGGAGGTAAGCGATCCCGCTCGGCCAGTCTGTCGTGAATATTTTGAATAGCATTTACTAACAATTGAGATGATAAAGGCTACAATGGAGGTGGTGGCAGCGGTAAGTTGCACCGTGGATATTCTTTACTTTTATAAGCATACTAACTGTCTATAGGCTACTCCGGTGGTGGTGGCGGTGGATACTCCGGTGGAGGAGGATACGATCGTAATCAAAGCGGTGGAAACGCCGGAAACTGGGGAGGAAACCAATAAATTGTTTTCGACTGGGCGGCATTCTTCTCTTCTTCAAGGTCTTTCATTCTCCGAGAATAAGAAAAGTCAGCCTGGGGTTCTCAGCGAAGGGTTTTCGTGGGGTGGAATTTATGATGTTGTCATCTTTTTCGATAGCAGCTTAAGATTTACCTTGTGGCTTCTGGCAGCGGTTCTGGTCTGGCGAGCATTACTGACGCTTGCATGGAGTTTGGAGGGGGTTATCTTACCTTGCTCGATCACTTTTTCTTTCTAACATCTGACAAATGTTTTTCAAGTCTGCCTGTATTTTCGAGTCACGATCATTCTGATCAAGCTCTCTTTATGAAGACTGCATATCTCTGCAGGTCTTTATGGTTTCTATGGCAAATAATACCCCAAAAAAGGGAATGAATGGATGAATGGCTCTTTCACGCGTTACTTTTCAGTCTCCTCCTGCTCATCTGTGCTTATAACCTTCTTGGCCTCATGATCTATATCCTCTGTGTGACTTGCTTCTGCTTCTACACCTCCTTGCCTCTCAGCTATCTTCCGAACCCTATTTGCCAGGTCCTTGATATGATCATCACCACTCTCAGGACTCAATTCATCCACTAAATTTATTAGCATGATTATTCGTCTCTAGTGCAGATATATTTAATAGCGACTAGCATTCGAAGTATACAGAAATCAAAACCAAAATGGAAATGAAAGCAACATACAAGCAACATCCAAACTCAAAAGATAATCACGATTCAAGCCACTCGGGCCTTCACTTCGGAAGATGTGTTCAGCCAATTCTTGCGGATCCTGAGGGCCGGTAAATTGAGGGTTGGAGGGGGTACCTATGTAGAGGAGGGTCCTGATCGGTTGTTGTTGTTGTGCTTCAGTGGCGGAGGAAGAGGAAGGCGAGGCAGCGGGACAAAACTCGGTGTAGTGGATAGTGTAACCGTTTATCTCGCGGATGTCGAGGTATTCGCGTACTTGGGCGACGTGGGAGGAGGGGATGTGGTAGGCGACGCCCCAGGTTTTGGGGGGAGGGGATGGAGGAGATGGGGTGGAGGAGGGGGGAGAATGTGGATCGTGGAGCGTGAGCCAGTGGGAGTGCGAGATTAGGGTTACGACGCGGCCTGGGGAGGAGGGTGTGCCGCGGTGGTCTTCGCTAGAGGGGGTTAGGGGGTTTGGGTTGGGAGGGGGAGGGGGAAGGGAGGGGAAGATGGGAAAGGGGAGGGGGGGGTTCATTTACCTAGCCTGGATATCTATCTATTAGCTATTACTCCTCTCTACATCAACTCATGCAATGTACAAAACAAAAGAAATGAAAATAGTTTTATGGAGGAATGAGAATTCACAAAGTTATACTCTGCGCCTGCAAGACAGGAAAACTATCTAGATTGAATGGAGGAAGAGGAAGAGGAAAAGAAAATCAAAAAACCATACCTGCCAAAATCTCCGCACATATCCTGTTACATAGCCTGGAATACGTTGATCTATTTGGGAGGTTTGTTAGGGGATCAAAATTGGGGGATTGGGGTTTGGGTTTGTGTTTGTGTTATTTAAGAGGGGGGGGGGGGAGGTTGGTGGTAGGTAAGTAGGTACTTCATTGTCCTTTTTGAAGGGAGATTGGATATATCGTATATTGTAGGTAGATACTTGACTTGGGTACATAGGTATCTTGAAGAGTACAGTACAGTACAGGACAGTATAGGACAAGACAAGACAGGATAAAGGATGGAATGAAGGAGATTTCTAGATTACCAAAATGTGGAGGGGGTTTCCAGATTAAACTCCTGTGGTTTGGGGAATTGAGTTAGCTGGGGATTGTTTATACCGAGGTAGGTATTGTAGAGTAAGAGGTGTAGGGTAATAGGTACCCGTATCCGAATATCCAGAACTCGCTCTCGGGATTGGTGGTGGTGGAGGGGGAGGGAGTGAGAGGGAGAAAGGTGTCGCCCATGGTGCGTATTCGGTGCGTATTGAGCGTATTGAGCGTATCGAGTGCGTATTGGTTCGTATCCGGGGATTACCCTATATGGTTGAGACAGGAGAGGGGATAAAGAAGGGGGTATTGGTCTTTGTATGTGAGGTGAAATGAAAATGAGTGACGAGCGAGGGGTAAGAATAATTTTATGTTTCAGATGTGTTTTGAGGGTGAGGGACGATGATGATGCACGCACTTGGGTAGAGCGGAATGATCAGTTGAGTAATGCCGATGGGATGGAGACCTTACTTATTACGTAGGTATTGATCGCAGTAAAGTTTACTCTGCAGGAATTGCTCACCGGGGCGCAAAAATTGGTACATGTCAGGTACTCATTCATATGGGAGAGGAGAAAAGTAAAGAGAATCCGAGAGCGCATGATATCTCTTGTCGGTGTCGGTGTCAGTGTCAGTGTCAGTGTCAGTCCATACACTCCTGCAGTGAAAATGTCTTTTTTGTCTATTGCTCACCAGGGCTCTAACATACTCACATCAAGTATTGGCATTCGTCATTCTTGGGCATTTAGAACAGCTGGGTGAATCACTAAGGATTCTCAAAGACCTTTCGGCTCAGCCCCCCATGAATACTTAAGAAGCATCCTTTCTATTCACATATATCACATCTGGGACTCGTTATTCTCTCCATACTTCCTCTTTTGACGATACGTTGACATCAAATTAATTTCTTAGGGAATTTTCATTCGGCAACTCTTCCGGTGATCACTAGGTACCTGAAATTAGATCCACCATCGTAACGCTCAGCCTACTCGCCGCGTCAAGGGAACTTTTGACTTACACGGCCCCTCTACGATAATCGCTCGAGCTTCAATCTTCAATCTTTATTAACATCTAACCTACCACGAATCCTCTCACAACTGTATCAGATAGTCGACAACTACCTAATTCTTCGTCGCGAAACATTTCCTACCATTCATACTCTCGAATCAATCCATTACCATGGCTTACAACAGAGCTTTTAACCCAGATTCGCTACCTGCGTAAGTCAACTCTTTCCCCTCCAGTTTAGAACCAGGCTGACCCAAACCCCACAGATTCGCAGAGCCAGAACGAGTACATTTGTCCCTTTCCCCAAATCGCATCGCATAACCAGCACTAATCCACGCAATAGAAACATGCACAATCCCCCGTCGTTCAGGCCCCCATCCACAGCCAAGCGCAACAAGCCATGCACGGCGCACAATACGAAAACCGTCCCCCGCCATCCCTCCCCCAAACCATAAATCCCAACGGCCACAGACCATCCGATGGTCGACGACTCTCGCCCCAAATGCATCCTCCAGGAAACTATGGCGCTTCCCCTCCAGGTCGCGGCTATGCCTCTCCTCCGCCAGGCCAATTCCAACCTGGTCGAGTTGCGCCTCAGACAAGACCGGCGCAACAATCTAGACCTCCTCCTACGCCTGCTCCTCCCGGTGCGGATCCCCAATTGTGGCCGCTATTTCAGGCTGTGGATAAAGATAGTATGTGTTGACCCCATTCCTGTCTCTCCATCTAAAATGCAAGAACCAAATACTAATCCCTCCCCCTCTCTAGGAACCGGCGCCCTCACCGAAAAAGAGCTCCGCGCTGCCCTCGTCAATGGCGATTGGACCGCCTTCGATCCCTATACTGTAAAAATGATGATTCGCATGTTCGATACCGATCGCAGCAACACGATCAATTTTGAAGAGTTCTGCGGCTTATGGGGATTTCTCGCGGCATGGCGTGGATTGTTTGATCGCTTCGATAAAGATCGCAGTGGGAATATTAGTTTGGATGAATATTCGGAAGCGCTGGTGGCTTTTGGTTATAGATTGAGTGATGGTTTTGTGGGGACCCTGTTTAAGGCTTATGATAAGAGGGCGGAGGGAGCGATTAGTTTCGATATGTTTGTGCAGAGTTGTATTAGTTTGAAGAGGATGACTGATGTGTAGGTTTTTTCTTCTTTCTTTTTTCTCTTTTTCCTTTTATCTTGGAATGCGGTTAGGATGTTGGGTTCTGTATCTGCGAGAAGAAATTCCTGGGAATTGTGAGAGTGGATTGATTGCTAACATGATTTTGAAATAGCTTTAAACGTTACGATGATGACCGCGATGGTAAGTCATTTCGCATCGATCTCTTGCCTTTTAAATATCTGACCGTGTCCACTAGGTTACATTACGCTCTCCTTTGAAGATTTCCTCCTAGAAATCATTCGACAGAAGTATTAAACTTTTCGCATATTTATGGCTGGGAAGATATATATCTCATGGAACTGGGCAAATGAGTAAACAGATGGTTTTAGCCTCAGTATACGGGAAGGGAAATGGTGAAGCGTGAAACTTGTCAGTGCGAATTATAGGTTATGGCGAGGTTGGAGAGGTGTGGAGGATCTTGATGTGTCTAGATTGTAGAGATGCTCATAGGAAATTTGATACCCATGGTTTTTGCAGTGGCTGTTTGGTTGCGCTTGTTGATGATACTGTCTTGTGGGTGTTGCGGTGTGGTGTGGTGTGTGGTGTGTGGAGGAAAGAGTATGTACGTTGATGGTTGAAGTAGATGGGTGGTTGGTGGTGATGAGTTCGAGAGGATTGTAAGATCTTGTATTTCTCGATATATGCGCAAGTATCTTTCTTTGCTTCATCTTTCCTTCCTTTTCTTGTCATTTATTCCTTTATTCATCTCCAAGGTAAAGAAAAGGTAGATTTTTTTATTGATTTTTTGTTTATCTTGAATCGGAGTGGGAATCTTATATATATAAGTACGTGCGTATTTGTCTCTATTGTCTATCTCGTCCGATTCTTTTCAAGGAGGGGGATAGAGAGATGGGGAGATGAATAGATTTTTAAATAGATAAATAGATCATGGTGTGAAATTCAGGAAATCAAAAAAATAAAAGACAGGGAGGCGGGGGGAGAGGGGGTTTTCGTTAATGGTTTGGGGTTTGGAGTTCTGGAGGTATTGGGGGGTGTTTGTTGGGGGGGGGTGTTGGGGGATGGATGGTGGATGGGATGATGGATAGATAAATAGATAGGTATGGTGAAGGTGATGGTGGAGGTGGAGGTGGAGGTGAAGGTGGAGGTGGAGGTGAAGGTGGAGGTGGAGGTGAAGGTGGAGGTGGAGGTGAAGGTGGAGGTGGAGGTGAAGGTGGAGGTGGAGGTGAAGAAGTATGTGGATTGAATGATGGATAAATAGATTGATGTAACAAATGAAGGAGGGGATTGAGTGATTCTGATATAGCTCCATTGGGGAGGCGGGCGGGGTTGTTTTGAGGTTTGTTTTGGTTTTTTGAGGGAAGGGAGGGGAGGAGTTTTAGCTATTGATTTGATTTGTGTTTTGGGGGTGGATTTGGGGGATGGGTTTGTTGTGTTGTACTGTATCGTGCTTTATTTCATTGTATTTTATTGGTTGAAGTTGTGGGTGGAAAATTGATGGTTTTGATGGATTTGGTGGATTTAGTGATTTGGGAGTGGTGGGAAATGGGAATATGGGTTTCCCGTACTTGGGAGTAGTGGAAGTGGCTAATTTGCAGGTATGGTAATGGTGATGGTGATAGTAGTGACTATCTTGATATTTTACAAAGATATAGGTAAGCGAACTGTTGAGCGAAGTGCTGGAGTCAGTTTGCCGATTTGTGATTGGAGTTATGATTAGCGTCATACTTGAAGCTAGAAGAACCTACAAAAGTGTGATATGATGACTTCGGCAAAGTATCCGGAGAGAGGGGAAGTACTTTTAGTATAGTTGAAGTCTCAGACCCTTGTTAAAATACTGGAATGGGAGGCGTTGAGTGAGCCCTGGAGATGTGTGCATATTGGGATTTGGGGAGATGGAGGTTTATGGTATGAGTTTCGGGGGTTTTCAGCTGCGTTATGTCGAACTGTTAAAGTTAAGCAGCGTCGGGAGCGTGATTGAAGCTTGAAGTACTGGGAGTTCTACCTAGGTATACAATAGGGTAAAGCTTGAGATTGTGATTGGGATTAAGAGGATCATTCGCACGCTTTCTGTTTGTTCGTTCCGGTCACATCCAATGCAAATATCGATGCAGTATGAGCATGTATCGAAGGGAGTTTAGACTTGTCATTGGGTTATTGATCAGGAGGTAGAATCATTTATCAAGTACGCGAGAGTGAGGTACGCGTCAAGCGATGCGACACTTCAATACACGAGTACCGTCTACTCCAAAATTGGAAAGTCAGGGTGACACTTTCTTCAAAAATAAAGGTTGGAACCAGGCTTTCTGAACAGCTGATTATTTCTGCTGATAGTATACGTACGTGTATTGCTAAAGATAACACTCAAGTGCTACTGTATAAACGCTGTACCTATTTATAGATATTGTCTGGAAGTAGGCTTCTTAAACGTCTTGAACCGTCTGTGCTGCCTGTTTACCCGCCTCTTCTTCTTGTTCGCCCGCCTCTCCTGCTTGTCCACTCGTCTGTTCAGCCTGTTCATCTGTCACAAAGTCCTCTGGGTCTCTGAGCGACATTTCCCCAATTCTGATCAAATCCCTATTATAGAGAGTTTCTGGGTGATTACCCGTGATAGCTTTATCCAGAAGCGCAGCCGCGGCTTTCTCTACCTGAATTCTTGGCAGCCGGCCTATAAGACCGTCTCGAACCCATGATCCAGCAGTATGCACCATTTCTTTCAAACCTTTACCGTCCCCGTGTCGTATGATGTGTCCCGGCTTTGCGACACATGCCTGCACATGTCCACTAAGATCTCTCGCGGAACTCAAAACTCTTTGCTCTCCGACTCCCTGCAGATATATAATCAGTACTATTGTTTCATTCTCGAAACTTCATATAAGGGAGTGACTCACCTGTATCGAACGTGAAGTCGGAGTTTTATTCACCTTCTGGAGTACTTTGGCTCGCGAACTGCTCACGTAAATGAACCTAAGGGGGGTCACTTCAGCGGACGCAGGGATCGTGAAATTTGGTCCCCGTCGCCTCGCTATCCATTCCATGCCGTATCTAATTTCATCGAGATGGTACACTTGGTCGTAGTAATCAGGTTTATTATTTGATCCGCTCCGACCTGGCTTAATGTTCCTGCAGGCTCGAGTCAGAATCTGAAATAAATAGTGAAGGTGTGTCAAGTAGTCCCGGCTACTGTTCAACAATGAAAGAATTTGATTAGGAGATGTGTCTATACCAAATACAAGCAACCATTGCAGAAGCATCGACATCTAGTCTTTGCCAGTCCTGAGTTGTTTCGGGAAACGCGCACGTCACCAATTTCGAAACGCCACTAGGTACTTGCGGTGGCACTGTATTACGACCCGATATAGCTATGATAGATGTGACTTCGATGTTGTCAAGAGCTTGTTTGACAAGTTCCTGCCCAAGTATGTCGGTCGAGCCGACAATAAGGAGCTTCATGTCGGAGGATGGTGTGTGTTGGGAGTGATATTAAGAAATAAAATACTTTAATGAATACAATATTTTCCGAAGATGATGATTGTTAAAGATGATAGTGTTGTTGTTGAGGATAAGTTTTCGTTGAAAAGTAGTCTTTATATACTTCTCAAGCAAGCACATCAATATTAATTATTACCAGGAAAGAGCTGATGACCGTTCAACTCCTCCATATCGACTACCTCAAGGAATTGAGATAGTCATACCATGAAGTCGCACCTGCCTTTTTATGTAAATCACCTGGCGTCGGGATAATAAGCAATAACATAACGTGCAATCTTTTTGAGATCGATGATTTTGATTCCTCATGCGAACCTTGCAGCATTCGTCAAACTATATGGACCCTCCTTCTCTCATGTACTACTCACCCTCCCCCCCCCCATCGCTTATTTCCCTTTCGTACGATTGAAAGCCGCTCTCGCTTTTCCAGTACCACATTGTCTTGTTGGTCGCATATGGACAGGCAGTAAGCTGCAAGTAAATGATATGTATATATATATATATATTGACTTTCGCCCCTTATGGCTGCTGCAGGGCCTGCGGCTCATGTATTTTACTCACTAGTTCCAGTGTAAGTCAAATATGTTCGTCCCAAAGCAAAAGTAGTCGTATCGCCAAGAAGGTTGCCAATTTAAAGATTGCGGTCCGTATATAACTCGCTTATACGAATTGCTCCACACCAAGAGTTCCGAGTCTTCTTTCCTCCAAAAACGTGCCAAAGTACCAATAATGAGTTACCAGCAGCAAGCACTAGTACCAGAGAATCATGTGATGTTGATTCTCAGTTTAAAACTTTCACTAGACATTAGATGCTAATATAATGTTTTTGATAGCTCTAGATATCTAATATAGTATTAGACGAGAACGGGGATTTGGTGCTGATCTCCGTTAGAATATTCGAAGGGCAATTAGACAATACTATAGGGAAATTAATCTCTGTATATACCTCCAGCTAGCTAGGTACCTAATGGTATTATACGACCTTCGGATAAGATTCATCTACTTGCAGCTTGAAAGCATGAAGATAGATCGACATTTGCCGTCATCTTGAATCGAAGCCGGTCAAAGCCGTATCAGAATTATCTTGTGAGCATCATTCACCTTCAACACTGCTATCTGAGCAAGTACTCGGAATAATCCACGTGGTAAAAACTCACACCGAGCCGCAAATTTCAGTTTATGAGCACGCAATTAAGATGAATCTGTCAAGTTCACCCAATTTGCAGCTGCTACCCAATAAAATTATATCATCTACTCATCCATGAGCAAGTTCTCTACTTACTTTGAGCCGGAAATCGAACGATTCTGTGCCGAGACTTGCAGAGAATGAAGAAACTATCTGCATGAACCCCTCAACCAGACTCCGATATAAGCTGTGATCCTATCATAACATTCCATCTACTCGTGCATAATGAGACTACAAGAGTGAATGACTACCCTTCAGGGTAAGTAGATTCTCACATAGCACCGCACTCTAAGCATTCAGTGAATCTCCAAGTCTGAGAAACTGTGTATAAGAGCCGCGCCTCTTTCCCTCTTGCTTCTCTTTCTTTTTGTGAAAACCCACCTTCCTCCATCATCCTACTTCTCTTCCAAAATCGCGAGCTATTGCAGTACTAGCATCTCATCACACATCCATCAATTCTAATCTCAGCCAACATTACCCCTTCATCCACCATATCAGGTCTTATGCCATCCGACGATGAGGATGAGTATGGAAACACCATTCGCCGTGCCCCTGTCAAGTATCCTTCGCGTCTCATGAATCGCTCTCCTTCCCCTGAGCCTCAACCACCCAAGGATTATAGCTATCTTAAGCCTCTTGGTATCAATGATTATTCATCAAGATTGTCCGTAAGTATATTTCTGATCTTCGTTGCATATCTAGCTCTAATTGTCTCTAGCCAGAAAGTGAGGAGCGGGAACGTTTGGAAGAGATAAAAGATACCAAGCGAGCAGAAAAGGAGAGAGCCGAAGAGAACGAAGCCAGTCGCATCGCCCAGGCTGAGTTGGACCGTCAAAGTCAGGAGAATAAGGCAGGCAATCGTATGCTTCAGGTCGACACCGATCACAAAGCCGTTACAAAGCGCGTTACCAAAGTGCTCCGCAAGACATCTGTTGTACGTTTCCCCTCTTTGAATTCATAGACTTTAAGCTAATACATCGTTCGCCATAGTTTGAACCAAAATACGAGGCTGAGACAGGCGAAGGAAGTAGCAAAGGAAGTGGTAAAGGAATTGGTCGTGGAAATGCGAAGAATTGATGATCTTTGGGGGCTTGAGAGTTTGAGATGCAGACTGTACCTTTAAGAACTCTCACATACTGGTTTAGATGGCCTATATGGCAAGCTTGCATCATAACGCATGGCTTTGAGTGAGAATTCAATACATTTCATCTCGCAAGTCTGATTTCACGTTATGTCATGTTAATGTGATTTGCGAATTAATTCTTGGGTCGCGCGGCCGCGTGAAGTGAATACTCCCTCGCGCAAAGTGGATCGCGTCACCTTCAAGTCAACAACGGTTTTGCAAAATCTATATCATTCGCTTACCAAGCTCCACAACCACCGCAGCCATCAAAACTATCACAACCAAAAAAAGGCGACTCTTGCATGAAGAAATAAAATTAAAGGGAAAGGGAGCCAAAAAATGCAAAACTTCAGGTCGAAACCCTAATGTTACAACTCTCCATTAAACTCGTCTAACAGGGCACCACTCGGTAACAAACATCCAAGCACAGATGAAGGCAACCGGCTCACCAATACTGCCAGACTACTTTTTTGTCATTAAATTGATGGAGGTAAGCGAAGTGTTTGAACATATGTACCATAGTTTCTCATTAGCGAAGCTCCACATATTGAGACCAAAGAATAGTAAGGGTCCACCAAAATCAAATGTTGGAATGATTGCGCGCGTGAGGCATGAGGTTATGTTTATTATTGAATCGGCTTTGCCCTTTGTATCTACTTATCTAGGATTTCAGAAGGGCGACGATATGGTTAGGGATATTTTCGCAGCCACCCTACAGATCAATCAATCATCCAAGAGAAAGTGGTCTTCCGTTTTAATAAAAAAATTGGCTTGTGATTCGAAAGAAGATCTCAATAGTAACATTTATCTCGGCATCAAGGAAGGATTGTCAACTTTGCTAAGGACTTTCCGCAGTGGAAGTATTTTCTCGAGGTTAAGCAGGTCGTTCGGAATTCATTCTCATCAAACACTCACGGGTGCATGTACCTTCTCCCAAGGTTATGAATTTATCTTGTTAGCAGATTCTCTCTTATCGTCAAGTCCACTCTCTTATATAGTATTACAATTATTGTTCTGCTGGATTTATGCGTATAAACTTCGGTATTCTTGAGCTTCGAATCCAATATCTCAGTACAGCACCACCTCTCATGGGGATGGTGTTCTCAATTATTAGCAATCTGACTTTGAATATATCGCTGACTACCGCAGTGCCTCCGCTATATTCTTCTGAACCCGTTGAGTATTTATCTTAAGAGTGGAGTGGTATTTGATAATTGTGGAGTTAGGTTCTTAAGCGAAGGGGATGGGATGACAATAGACACGCAGCATCGAATGACTTGCACGTTGAAGATTTGTATCAAGGTTCATCTTTTCACAATGACTGAATATACGTTCCAAAAATAAACTACTACAGCACCGAATCAAGAAGCCGTACATCTCAAAGAAGGCGGGCTTTGACCATACTTTGATCTCCAGCTTCGTTCTACCTTTCTCTCTGTATGTTACCATCAGCGTTAATGCGCCTCGAATCCCCATTCTATTTGCGTCAGAAAATCAACTCCTACAGCCGATTTTTATGCTTTCCAATCATGTACCTCGACTCAATGAATCATCTCAGATTTTCCTCTATACTACTGTACCGCATTACTGTATGCACAGTACCTAATGAACAATTCAGTCAGAAGATTGCCAGAGCAGCGTTTATGACTGCTTGAAATAACTAGAAAATGGCACAATCTTTTCATCTTCTCTGTTCCTCTTGCAACATCACAAAACGTTACCGTATTAACTACACAGCTCCCAGGCGTTTACATAGCGTGTGCATAACTGCCATTCAGTATCAGAACACACAGCGCGCCACACCCTACCTACCACTTTCTCTATCTCATCAACCCCGAAGTTATCAACACACAAGATGAATTCCCAGGAGGTATCCGCCAAAGGCCAGTCTCAATCTCAGCCAGCCAAAGCGGAGCAACCAAAGACAGAACCCAAAACAAATCCAGCAGCCACCAAGGAAGAGCCAGCAAAACCAGGTCAAAAGACCTCCACAACTCCCAGCAACAAAAAACAAACAGATAAATGTCCTCGCTGCGGACGCACCGGATTTCTCGCTCAATGCCACTCTTGCAGTCTCGGGACAGGAGTTGGATTGTGATTGATGGATCGTGGCAGTTAGGAGAAATGTACGGAGTCGGCGAATTTTGTGTGTTTCTGCGAGATATTCATACGGAAGTGGAGATGGTCCGAGATGGTAGGGATGGACGGTTTTTATGTAGTTTGAGCTTCTTGGTCACTCTTCAACACGAATACATTGCATGCGCGCTGCTTGTGTTTCTTTTCGTTCATTCGAGGTTGGGGCGACTTGGAGGGGTTCGTTTATTGGGACTGATACACGAACAAACAATAAAAAGACATTCATTTTACCATTTGATTATATCCCCATTGTGATTTCTTGCATCTTTCTACGTTTACCTCACTCATCTCCTTGCTCATCTCCAACTTTAATCTCTAATTTCATTATCTTCCTCATCATCCTCATCATTATCTCCATCATCGACCTCTCTATTCTCCCGATATCCTTCAAACATAACTCCACTCATCTCCACTTTCTTCTCCTCCATCCCCAACGTTCCTATTCTCTCCATCAACAGTTCTCTTTCCCTCTTCTCTCTCTCCGCCAACTCCAATTTCTGCTTCTGCTTCTTTCTCTTCTCTCTCCGATTCTCATTCTTCGCAGTAATTCTCTCCTCTTTCTTCTTCAATCGTTTCTGCAGAATGCATTAGCCCTAGCCTCGCAAAAAATCAAGTGTAGATATATCCATGCAAAAACGATGATAAAGTACAACATACTGCGAGATTTTTCTTCCCTCTCTTTGAAAGCGGTCGCTTCTCCGGCGACGCGCTTTCAAATTGGTTGTTTGCTTGCATCTCTTGGTGAGTTGAGTGGTGAGGTAACGGAGACAGTATTATTTTTTGTTGTTGTTGTTGTTCCTATTCTTTCTTGCAGATTGTTTTTCAAGATGCGAATCTGAAAGTCATGAATACGGAAGGCTGTGATGGTAGCCTCGTTACTTGAGACGATAATACATAAAGAAGATTCACCCATCGATTATAGACTCAAACATGCTTTATTTGTGTGCTCATCCAATCTCAAAGTAGATCTCTAATCTCGAGCTCTTGCTCCACTCCCAAACTCCATATTCAAGACCGAACTATCCAAACCGCTCATCTCATTCATATCCATATTCCTATCCATATCCCCATCATCCACACACCACCCCAACATCTCCCGATCCGCAGCATCCACCCATCCCACATAAAAAATTCCCACCACTCAATGACTACTAATAGCAACCTAATCTCTACCACTTCAAACCTACAAACAGGAACACAAACACAAACACAAATCAAAAAACCTTTTATATCTAGCCGAATACCAGATAGCCTCAAACAATCCTAATAATAACATAACTTACAACAACACACCAAAAAGAGCTCTGAACCCAACCGCACAACAAGCCGATACATTCGTATACATCAATACCTACCTACTTCTCTCCATCCGATTTTGTTCATCCCACCCCTTCTCTCATACTTTCATACAGCTAAACTAACCTTGGAAGATCTCAAAATCCAGCACCTCTTCCCTATTTATCAAAATCGATAAAGTAAAACCAACACCCTCTTATCAAACTCTTCAAACTTTTAAGTTCCGAAAGACTACTACGATGCATTTAAAGATTGAGATAGGTAATTAGGTAGGTATTGGCACTCATTGGATTACTAGACGAGTATCTATATAAGCGAAACCTCAAGTATAGAAATCAAAATCTAGAGCCCAGTGAAGATATATCGACTAGCGTTAGATGAATAGAAATTGCAATTCAACGAAGAACATTCTCTCAAGAACTATATGAATTAACCGTTGAGAGTCGTGACCTAAAGCGAATACTCAGATAAGCAAGGCACTGAGAATGAAATGTAATATGGAGCGTTGGAAAATTATGGGATTCCCTTAATCTTCAATTTCAAAATTACATCATATTTCTACCTACTCAAAGCAAAGCTTTAGACCAAACTTTCATAGCAAAAATGGAAGAAATATAAGTTATCATGCACGAAACTTTTAAGATTATAGTACATTGAAGTGTTTAATTATCAGACATCACTTCAGCCTATTTTTTGAACTTTTGTGTTTTGCTTGATACCTGGACTTTTGGCAAAAGGTAATCTCCACCCAAAAAGGCCTTGTATACTCCATATAGCCCGCTCAATGGCCATATACTCCAGAAGATTGCCAGCAGCCACAAACTCCACGATGCCTGCAATTTCTTTTGCTCCGAATCTACATCAACTTTGACTTTATCGTAGATACTAGGAAGGTGTGTGGCATGATATTTGACACGAAGAGCATCGTACTCCTTACGATTATAAATTTCATCGAATTCCTCTTCTGTATAATAGGCATGAGCATATAGCCATTTCTGGCCACCCAATTCTCGAACCTTATGTTCGAATTTCTGGTTCCATGATATGAAAGCATCACGATTATTTGGTCCTGGTCCCCAGACTCCAAAATTGAGCAACATTTTAGGAGTAGATGAATTCTCTTTCCTTTCCGCGAGAAGACCAAGCGGTGAGTCGCTGGATATCCCGCTTTGACGCAGTGGACACAGCCAAATGGGCCACTGGCCGAAATCTTTGTCTAGATATTCGACGAAGTCGGTGCTACGTGGATACGGAATTGCCACATCCTGAATTATATACTTTTTTGAAAGCCCGCTTTGATGTAATGCGTGATACATCACTCGCGTGTGCATGAAGTAGTCGAGTAGACGGCGCGTGATACGGTTGAAAGGGGTAATGAAGTATCTAGCAGAAGTCAGTGTGAGATTAACCTTGAAATATAATTTCCCTTTACCTATAGGCATATCTAGCAACCCAGAAACCGCCTCGGTCATATCTAAACAGGTAATCAACAAGGGGTATCATTTCTGTGACTGATCCGGAGCTCTTATCATGCAGTTTCTTTGCATGGAGATAGAACCAAGGATCTGAATTTCTCGTGAAACGCTGAACCTTGGTATTTGGGGTAATCTCATCAACCAAGCGTCCGGAACAGATGACACCAGCCTCTTTCCTGAACAAAATTCCATCGAGGTAGTCAACATTTGGATCCTTGGAGATTTCTTCGATCTTTTGTATTCCTTGAGCCATGCTTTGTATATTTATATATGTCAACTCAACGTATGTTTTGGCTTCGATTAGCTGCAGCTCAATCAAAGTGGTAACTCCTAATGTCCCAAAAGACGATGCAGCACCATAGAAGAGATCCGAATTCACATCCTTGGAAGCTGACACGATCTCGCCGTTTGCAAGAACCATCTCGATCCAATTGACAGTGCGATCAAAGAAGCCATATTTAAAAGAGCTACTCTCTCCAGAAGTACCAGCAAAGCCTCCTCCAGTCGTGATACCCGGGAATTCCATAACCACTGGAGGAACCAGGCCATAACGAAGAGTTTCTGCGGCGAGGCTATCCATTGGTACATTTGGTTCAACAAGAGCCGTTCTTTTCTCGGTATCTACCTTGAGTACCCGATCTAGCTTGCTTGTATCAACCATACGGTCTCTACGACGGTTAGAGTCTCGTGTACTGTTCGTTGAACCATGGTATAACCTGAATGCCTCTTTTCGTTCATAAAATTGCTTGACTGATGAGGCAATGATAGAAACTGCTTCATTGTGATGATCCATCCTTGCTAATTTTGCTGTGGATTATACGTTGTAATATCTCGCAGGGAACGATTGAGAAAGAGTTCTCGATTGGGAGAGGTAAGAACATGCTTTCCGTGGTTACCGACAAACATTAGCCGCTAAAAGTGAGCCCCGCTGAGATACACGCTAAATCGAAACATGACATCGCGCCACTGCGTAATGAACTTACAAAACCATTCAGACTGCCGAAATGGCAGCAGACACGCGGGACACGATTCACACGATGCGTGGGAGTGGGGAAGTCTAAGTGCGTCGGAATTTTCAGCCGAACCGACTCATCCGAGCATAGTGAACATTGAGCAAAATAGTCTTCACTGTTTTGATCAACATTAATTTATTGGATTAAAATATCGTGGTTTGAACATACTTCTCTTTATCTTCCTAGTATCGTGATAATTTCCACGTCTATGATTCTTTGTAGACACAGCCTTAGTACCTCTCATAATAATGATGATTCTGACTCCCGATTCAGCTCGAGGAGTAGATCACACCCCCAAGGGGAGAATTTCTGATGGAAGGAATCAGAATAGGACCTTAACATCTATAACAGAAGATATTATCAGTATATTCGAGTAATCAAGTCCCAATCATGAAATACACGTGCATTTGTCGCCTCATTGCTTCTATCACAAATGGACTCACTCCTTATGATTCAATTCTCCAGAGGGGCATTGGGAAAATAGTTGTTCCTTGAATTACAATTATACAGGATCAGAAACACATTTTTGTTTCGAGTCTGTTCTCCTCATCTCTAGTCTTCCAGTTTGTCTCCGAGTATTCATTACCTTACTTAGCTACTTTTTCAACAGGCGCAGCTCCGCCTGTAGTAGGCAGTCCCATGAAAATCTTGAAGTAATCCTATAACACCGTCAACAAGACCCACGTCAAAATTGATATGGGGAAACTTACATAGATCATCCATTGCAAACCAGTCAGAGTACCAATCATAACAATACGAACAGGAAGACCATTCCAGAGACCACGGAATCCAATATCTTTGTAGATACGTCCGGTAGCAGCACCAAATGCTTCACTGGGAAGTCGGGTGGCGTTTAACTTGGACACCTAGATATCGCGTATGAGTTAAGGGTTATGTAGAGACTGGTGGTAACAAGGGGACTCACCATAACATCAGCAGGATGTGAAACAATTGCGCAAAGAATACCGGCCAAGTAACCACCGGTGAACGAAACACCTGTTTGAGCAGCTTTACCATAGTCTGATTTTTGACCTGGAAGACGATCGTAAATCATTTCTACGATCGTCTCAAAAGATGCGAATTTCATCATGGTATACGGGATTTGTCGTCCCCAAAGAGGATACAAGCCCTTGTATAGTCCGGCATAGCCTTCTTTCGATATGATCTTGGAAAGACCATCTGAAGTACCTTTTGCGAACGGTGGAACGGTAGTTTGCATTCTAACCTTCACGGCCTCGAAAGGACAAAGAGCCACATCCGCAATAAACTCTGCGGATGCGCTGGCAGAGAGGTAAAGCCATGTTTTGTACTTGTATGCATTCTCAGGGCCAGCCAGGTCGGCGTAGAATTTCTTGAAGTATTCATACCCACCGTATTTGAAGGCTCCTTGAGCGGAGTAACCGAAGAATGTTGGACCCCATCCTGTCATGATGCCACGGAAACCTTCGGCGCGGAATATTTTACCCCAGGCTTGGAAGTTGCCGGTGTACATTTTGGAATCGACTTGGCGACGACATTTTACTAGATCGAGGGGAGTGACCGTTGTATGGGTGAGACCCTGCGGGATGTTAGTGGGGAGGTTGAGTGGTCAGTTACGAGTTGAGTGATGAATGGGAAGTGAGTCCTTGCAAGGTCTATCTATCGAAGTTTCGATGGGAGAAGAAAGTTAGGCGTTCAATCACCGATCCTAACATCGACAAAACTTTTTTGGTTGAGGGGAAGTACTGATGTGGTGATGGCACAAAGTAGAGTTTTGCTAGTTTACTTGAAGAGTTTTGAAAGATTGGACCAGTTCCGCATGGCAGTAAAACTAATCAATAAGGCAAAGTCTCGCCAATGGATTGATTGAATGCAAAGACTCGCAATTGACATCCTTGTGTAGTAGTGGGTGAAATGCTCCATTAGAGGAAGCGAAATAGCTGAGGGGAACGGAAAGGGTAAAATTTTCGACGCGAATCCAGATACTTCAGAATAGGCGTCATGGAGGAAGTTTCAAACTGATAGATAGATAGTCCCCTTGCAATCCAAACTCCTTGAGATCATAGGATAGATTGTAGGTAGATAGAGATAACTCACACAAGCAAGCAATCCACCAAAAGTACATGCCGCATAGAACTTTGGTGAATACAACTCGATTTTGCCAGTTTTAGCTTGAGCAGCCGTGCTAGCTTTGTCAAACTCCTTTGTAGCTTCTGCACTCAATGCATTGGCTTTATTTTTCGCATCGTCGACGACAGACCAAGCTGTATAGAGCTCTGGACGAGCTTGAAGTGGGGTGCGGCGCTTTGATACGGGAGTGGTACGTGCTTGAATTGATGGTTCAGTTCGGCGACCGTAGGGATTTGGAGAATGGAATGCATCGTGAAGAGTATTTTGAGAGGGAAAAATTGAAGGCATTTTGAAGATTGAGTGAATGAGAAGAGTGATTGCTTGTAAGTGAGGAATGAAAAGAAATGTGATGAGATGAGATGCGATGCTTAATTGTTAAATAATCTGAGGAAAGTTGGATTGAATGGATAATCCGGATGGATGAGACAGCTTGACCCAGTTTTGACGCTGAAGCAATAAGTTCAACGGCCAATGATACGCGACTGTATACGGTACAAAGTCTAGATGGTATCTCCATCCCTTGTGCGAGGTTGGCACTGATCAATTCATCGGATGGGAACGGGCAGGAACGTTGATTTCAATACGATGTAAGAATTGTTGCCCGGCTCGATTGTGAACGATACCAAGACTTCTGTGGGATGATGGATTCTTTCGCATGATTCTCAGGTACAACGAAGTAGATGGTGAAAGCTCAATTGCTTTGTACGAGGTAGAATGCTGCATGATATCTGGTGATCCGAGGTGCTTCCTACCGATGAGTAACCCTCGATCAGTAATTCAAAGATTCGGTCAGTGCCTTGCAACATGTGCTTCAAACCACGTGATAATGATACATAGGTAGGTACGTTCCGGAATTGAAGCTATTCACAAACGCGGAAAAAGCTTCTAGGCACAGGAACGAACACACACACACGCTGTATAGACTTCCTTCCCTACCTTCTACCACGTCAATTCCGGTCCCGCCCCGCCTAAATGACAATTTACCCCACCATTTCCTCCCCACCATAAAATTATTATTTGTTACTTTGTTGATCGTGAATATACCTACCTACCTCTTAAACTAACATCTATTCAAATGTCCAACATTATACCCAATCAAATAACAACACCCGCCACCTCAAATCCAGCAGAGATGGCTTCATCACCTAAATCCGGTCTTTCAAAATTGGCAAATCGTTATAGAGGAGTACGTACACATACTATACCCTTACCTTCACCCAGCTATGACTATGACTATAGATGGGCGTAAACAAATATGCTAACCAAACCACTCATCTAGGCCACAGTCGAAGATCTCGACCCTCCCTCTGCCCTCTCCTGTAACCCTACCGATCCCATCTCATACGCTCTTATGAGCGCCTTCGAACGCGATTACACACATCTCACCGTCGTAACCCCCGACACCCGCGCTCTCCTAGGCTACCTCTCCATTCCCCATCTACGCATCTTGCTCGAGACAGGAAAAGTGCAAGAATCAGACGAGGTATCTAAAGCCATGGTAAAATTCAGGAGGAAGGGAAAGGTTTACAAGGTTATTACTATGGATACGCCGTTGGAAGATTTAGAGTTATTTTTCAGCGGGGGAGAGAATGGCGAGGCGGGCAAACAGGAGTTTGCCGTTGTGACGGATGAGAGGAGAAGATTTGTGTTGGGAGTGGCGACGAAAACAGATTTGGAGGAATTTGCGAGGAGGAGACCTGCTTAGGAAAGAAATGCATATGATGAGAATGGATTGGGAAAATGGAGTTTGGGATATTAAAGAGTACGGTTTTAGAATGCATAGCGTGGACCAAAATTTAGGGGTACTATCTAATGCTGCATTTCACCAATTTCATGTTTGAGTTTGACTGTTCGCAAACACTTTGCCTTTCAGTCTTTTCTTATTCTCTGATTCATCGTGATGAATTCGAGTGTGGATAGCGTTCATAGCGCGTTCTCGAGCTTCCCACCAGTATGGCAAAGCTTGCTACATGATTGTTATCCAAGTTAGACTTGAAAACTTCAGGTTACTCATTCGCGCGTATGGGACGATCATTAATAGCTGCGCAAAACCATACCAATCAATGATATTGTAAAACTTTACCACACATTGTACTTGAACGTCATCCTTAACCTCATGACGTATAAATCCGCATATCACTAACGAGTGTACTTTCAAATTCAATATCAGTTCTCAAGCAATGAATCATGGAAAACGACAGGCCCTCCACTTCCACGCGTGGAGCTTTTGTATTCATATACTTTTATTTCATTACCATCTCGATCCCTCTAGTTTCTAGTCCACAAGCGTCACCACTATTCTGCACAGTACAAGAAGCTTTGACACGACGGAAAGATTCACCTCAGTGCTGGGAGTCAGTACCTCAGTACCATATTCATCACTTGCAAAAGCTCTCCAGAGGACAAGAGCATAAGCAATGGTAATTATATTAAGATACGACTACAAATCCAAGCCAACTTTCCAAGTTCCAGTCATGCATGTCTTGCTGACCACTCAATGAAACGAGTCTGAATCTAAATCATTATTTTCTAAGAAATTTACCTTTAATACATGAAAGTAAGGAGAAACCCGCTGCCTATTCTCCAGAATTGGAGGGGAGGATTAATTTGATCTGAAAAGTTTTTTCTGCTAACTAGGTACATACACTGTAATAGAAAGGCGAGAATCGGGCTGGTTGTAAAAGTCGAGAGGGGGGGGAGTAGAAAAATCCCACGCTACATGCAAGTGTAGGAAGGCGGAAAAAGAGCGAAGAATCGTGGGCGTCGGCTAAGGAGAAACTTTGAAAGAGGGGTAGAGATTTTGACGGCGGGGTTGAGGAGATATGTTTATAATTTCTCTAACGGTATTGACGATTTACCATATGAAGCTGCTCACTATGTCGTTGAGGTGAACACTTGACATCTTCGCAGTCTTGTTCGTGTTAACCTATCCCGTGATGTGGAAATGATACACCACTCAACCAAGGACGAATGTGATCTCCGCGCTATCAGTTGTGTTTATACATAAGATCATGAACATATCGACTGGTAGGTTATTTGATATATAGTTGGCTTGTCCATATTGGTCAATGAGAATTGTATGTCATTTCTTAGGTACGCAATTATCGGGCAGGATATCGGTTCGTAGATTGCTTTAACTTTCAAACGGTGCTTTGAAATATTGCTGTGGTACTATGCATAGCAGCTTGGATTGAAATGTATCATGGTAGATATATCATGGTGGATATGTCATGATAGACATCTCAAACACCAACATTAAAGGAGAACATCGGTCCGAACATTTCGTCTTATTCGCATGGGAAGGAAGGAGTAGCTAGATGTACATTCAACTCGATCCATTATCCTATCATCGTTTAGACCGTGCAAATCATCACCTCATACCTCATACCTCATACTACCCATCTCCCATCTCTTTCTCCCTCTATCCTATAACACCTTCAAATTCTCTTGCTCCTTCTTTTACACTATGGAGTTATCATCTTTACAGCAAGCAATGTATCGGGTACATTCGACGGCAAACGCGAAGTAGAACCCATGAAAGCACTGGGACGCAATGGAAGGGGTTACAATATAATCATTTCAACCTCATATCAGCATACGAAATACACCTCATCGAAGATGCCTCAATCAGCTTCTGCACGCATCATCGGCATTGCAACATAGTGGTCGGTGTGTTAAGATTCCCCCAAGAACACATTGACAATGAGACAGCAAGTGAATTGGACATGATGCGTGAGCGATATCCATTGTTTGATTTCAGTCCACCATTGCTCACTCAGTAGATAATCAATAACTGCTTCTTGAGATTGTAGAATAGGGCCTACTATGCTAGTTACCATCGAGATTCTTCCTCCTATACAATATTATACCACGGCACAGCACGGCACTGGGACACATACCCAGTCACAAGCTCGCAGGTAGACCTTTTGGATAACAATTGGCACAAACAGCTTGCAAAGTTACTCTCTTGGGCAACCTGACATATGAAATCACTTCACATCTGCAAGCTCCTCCGTTGCATTGAGTATCGAGAGTGGTATCAAAGGATTGTGTTCGTCTATTCGTCGGTGACGTTGATGTTGTGCTTACTGTCTACTGCCGAAGTTTCCTGAATTTTGCAGTGAGAGTTCTGAGGCACCATTAATCAGATATCTTGGATCATACATCTGTCGAGTAGTATATTTGTGATGTGAAACTTGAAGGCGAACAGTTTGGATTAGCGGATGACCACATGTGCGATTTAGCCTTTTAATATCGGCAGCGGTTTATTTTTCAGCTATGCTGTCTTGCCCCATGTTGAACATGGTAGCTTGTCGAACATTGTAACAAAATAATCAAACATATTGCAAATGCTATGTCTCCAGAGACTTGAATTGATAAAACAAAAAGCTTCAAGCGCACAGTGGTTATGTTTTAGAGTAGAACCCTCCTCGTGTACCATAGAATTTCAAGGCAAAGCGACTCGGTACTTTACTCCCCGCAATGTTACCACGACATGCGCAGGATATCGAGATCCACCAAAACATGCAATATGACCGATTATTTCGAACACAAAGTCCCAGGGAGATTCAAGGGCCCACATTTTATAACCACTTCCTCGGGTGACATGGAGGAGTCGGAAGGGAAGGTAGAGGGAACGATAGAGTGGGCTATAGGCGAGACATGGCAGTGTAACGAGCAAGCTTATCGCGATGCCACAGAGTAAAGCTTTCTATCTTCCCATCAGGCACAAGAATTTGGACAGAAGGATGGGTTGGTAGAATTTCCAGTCGATAGTGAATATACAAATGGACCGCTCTTCGGTATGTAAAAATGAAAAGCCGAAGGAAATCATGAGTGCAAGACTGCCCAACGGCTTTAGAAATCTGAGCAGGAAGCACAAGCTCTGAACCTCATGTTTTTGGTGTCTGGTAAACTTGCATCTTGTGTCCAATTCCTCATGAACGATGAACGGCCGCGGTGAGATTCCGAAATCGCTAGTCTAAAATCATAATCAGCAAAACAGTCTCAAAAGTGCTCCTGAGACATGATCTTGCCTACAGAGCAGAGAGTTCACTCGAATATCCAAGTAAAGTATATTTTCACGACCAAGAGCACCACCTTCACATGCAAAACATTTTATTGAAAAATTCATTAGTTTTGTGCAATAGCCGTTGAATTCATGAGAGTACACCTATGCAGTTTTTTTGAACCGCTCTTGTAGCCCACATCCATCCATCGCACCCCGCAAGAATATAAAACAGACCCATGAACCATTCATGCCATTTATTTCTTGGCAGCAGCGGCCTCATCAGCTGCATCCTTTGCTCTCTTCTCACGCTTTCCGGCCAATCTAGCATCACTTCTTGCATCGCGCAACTTTCTGTATGCACCTCCCTCAATTGGTTTTGGCATATCGCTCTTCTTGATCTCTGAGAATCCACCCTCAACAGTGGAGATTGGGAGAGCGTTCTTGACACGGCTGCTGGTCTCCTTGAGAGCAGCGACTTCCTCCTTGGTGGAGTCACCCTTCTTAGGTTGACCAAGTTTGCGTGGGAAGAGGATGAGGCGGGCACGGAAGGACTTGAGACGGTCGACGTTGGCCTTGAGGGACTCGACGGAGAGGTTTTGACGGCGGGCATCAACGGAGATACCGATGGTTGGGGCGAGCTTGCGGGGGATTTGTGCCTCCTATAATAACATCAGAAAACTATATCCCACGGAACTGAAAATTTCCGATCTATCTCACCTTCAACTCGGCGAGGGTGAAACCACGGCCAGCTCGTACACGTCTGTTGTACTTGATGGTTGGGCATCTGACAACAGGTCTCAACAAGTCGATTGGGCGTGGGGCGACAGCTGCAGTCTTTGCGAGACGAGCATTGCGGCGTCTGAGTTTTCGGCCAGGCTATTCATATTGTTAGATTCGATTCCAGAGATTTTTGCATTCCGTTTGCGCGTGGTGGTTTACCTGGTCGAAGTGAACTCTAACTCGTCTTTGCCAATCCTTTCGGAAATCTATCCATAATCAGCATCTTTGTAATTATCCTAATTGATCTGCAAAGAGGACATACGGTTGTGGGCAATTTGCTGGTTGTGCTTGATCGCCATTTTGTCGGATTGCAATCAAGTTGTCGTTGGTCGTCGTCTTCAAAATTCGAGATGTCGGAATCGCAGTATTGGACTTGCTGGGTTCGAAAAATTTAGGGCAAACAATCCCACAACCGAATTTTCCAAAATTAGTGTAGCACGTGATGCAAACTTTTTCTCATCAATCCTTGCTCGGCCCTCTTTTATTGATCATCGCCCTTCACTTCCTCAATCCTCTTAAACAATAATACAGCACGATGTAATAATAATCGCCTTCGTTAAACTTCAGATGAAGTTATTTCAATATACTTTCAAGGTTCCCGGTGAGCTTTCAACATGAGAAAAGGACTTCATTATCGTTACCAATTCGTCGATGTTGGATGTGATACTTATTATTATCGCGATGGCAAATGTCAGTCCGTTTCGTCATACGGTTTACTGAATTCATCATTTTATTCATATCTACTCGATATGCTCATCACTTCAACAATCCGCATCATATTTAGTCTACTCTTAAAGTGTCGTCAAACATGGTGGTTGGCATATCATGAACAGGCGTTATGAATTCACATACATGACAACTTGCTTTCTAAATCGTATCTCGATCGTGATACTAGATGCCATGATAGCGTTCACGCACTCCCAGAATCAATAACAGTACATTTAAAGAGTTTGGAGGTATAAAGTTATTTTTTAATTCATCAACTAATTTGAAGTTGAATGATTCATGCTATACATATCTCATTACTACCGTAAAACGTTTTCGTAAAATTGATTATTTTCACACAGCAACCGAAAGCAAGACAAGCAAATGCCTCAAGTCTCAAGAAAATAGGTAGGCCAGAAGAAATGACCACGAGTTCCGTCCGCCCATTTTTATGCAAAGACATATCTCATTTGCCCTTGAAACCGCTGAACCGATCCAACGCCAAAGCACCTTTTTAATGATCAAATACAAAAAGCCCATTTTGGAAGTTCTTCAGTGAACCAAGGTTACTTGCTTTCAGTATTTGTGAAACCGACCCAAGTCTTTCTCAAACATGGAACTTCTTCGTTGCGATTGTCATCAAACGGAAGGACCGCCTCTTTCCAGCCGACGGTATTCCATTGACGTCCATTCTTGACACGCTCCTCATCAGGTATTTTACTAGCGAGGGCTCTCTGTCTTCTCTTCTCGCGCTCCTCGATGACGGGATGCATGATCTTTCGTCGAAGTAAATGGGTTACATGACCGTGAATAACACCGATATTTCCAGTTTCTAATACATGTTTCAAGAGACTGAAAGGCAAGTTGAGTAACAACCTTGACAGTGTAAGAGTAATAGGATCCGATGAAGGGGAGCGAAGGCTCTCTTCAGTAGGGTGGTCGCCGAACTTAATAGAGCTCAATCGTGAGTTTGTGGGCCGGTGATCAGGTACATGCGGGATTCTAGAATTGAAATGAATGTCTGAGACTGTCGTATCCAATTCAAAGTTAGGAGGGAAGGACAGAATGATGAAGTTGATTATGTTGGAAATGATGATGTTGGCGCATGGAGTATAAGTACTTCGGCCCACTATATCGTTGACATCTGGATTTCCTGAGTTCCACGACGCATCAATACCTCCTTCAAGAGCGAATTCAAGAGCCTTTTCGACTGTGTCCCAGGTAATGAGTTGGCTCGCAATGCTGCAACCAGTCTTCCAAATTTGAGGAATTTGAAGAACAACTCCTGATGCTATGTAGCCAAGTGTGAAGTCGAAACGTTCAGTTGGGTTTAATGGCATGGGAGCTGATCCAATGTACGGAGCCGGAAAGCGGGACATTGCATCTAAGTCCAATACAGGTCCACCATATAGATATCGAACCGCCAATGAGAATGCATCAGATCGCAAGTAACGATCATCTGACTCAATCAAGATGTTCTGGGTAGGTAGAGGTGAATCACACTTTGCGCTAGCTCCAGGTGTAATGAGACCTTTCAAAACGAAACTGCGAGCCAAGATCAATCTATGGGCACTAATTCGAAGAGGAGCTGCTCGGTCATCAGAGTAGCGTAGCTCAAGAACGCAATCAGAAAACTCTGGTTGTGCGAATTGCTCACGAAGGTGAAACCAAAGATCTCGGCGGTTGCCGCCTGCCCATGGAATTTCTTCTTTGCGCGGGTAGCCGACGACGCCACGATAAGGTGGCGGTCCCATTGGTGGAAGTGGAGATGGATGATGTCCATAATAGGGGCCCAAACCGTTTTCCTGGTCCTGAATCGATGTTCGAAATCCATGGATGTTGTGCTTGTTAGCTGGATCAAAGCCGTTGAACCGAGGACTCTCAACGATTTGGGGACCAGTTGGGGAGTAACCTTCTTGTGAGACAAATGGTTGCATTTGTTTGCGAAGGAAGTCATCGGGTGGAGGGGCTTGAAAGCCGTCCTGGGGGTGGTAATATCCTGGAGGGAATGCTGGAGTCATTGGTGAAAACCCATTCGACATGTGGTGTTGATGGCCACCGTTTGAGAGATGAGGACCATGGCGCGCACCACCTTGCTGTGCGTAAGCATAAGGTGGAATGTTGCCAGCGCTCGAAGGGGGAGCTGGTGACGAATTATTGGAATCGGGATATCCGCCGAGGATCGGGTTCGAAACGCTGGTATGAGCGTGGTGCATTGGATGTTGACCATTGAACGCAACCTGCTGTGGAAATTGTGCAGATTCGGAGGACATCGTGGATTGATTGCTAGCTGGCACAAAGGGTGGAGGCAATTGATATGTTGATCTCGATGTGTTAGATTGGGTTTCGGATGGAGTAGAGTGCTTTTCCTCTTGAGAATTTTCTACTACAGAAAAGAGAAGATTTAGCGACAAGGACAATATTTTGGATTGGCAGAAATGGCGAGGCTGAAAGTGAATTCTCAAATCTCACCTTTTGCTTCATTCACATTGACCAAACTTTCCTCGCCCTCTCGCTCAGTAGAACCATGACCAGTAGAACCAGAACCAATCGTAACACCGCACTCAGTAGAGCTAAGTCCATCCAGCGATTCAAGAGTAGATGGTGTGTCGGCAACTGCTGCGGGAGCAGGCTTGGGGGACTCGTTTTTTGCCTTCAAAGCTTTGTCTTTTCGAAGAGGCTCATCCATATGCACGGCAGGTGTATCAATAGTTGAAATCGATGTAATGGGTACTTGGACTGCTGGAGCCGTCGAGGATGGGGGTGCGACTTCCTTCGCCTTGTCTCGAGTAGGTAATTCCTTCTGCTGTAGCTTACCATAGGAAAGAGGCAGAGCAGGAACAATGCCTCTCGGAACCGCAACTGCAGGCCTTGGACGATTCTGCATGACTTTTGACGCGCCGTTTGCTGGTGCCATGTTCGTAATATTTATTCAGTCGCAACAAGCTTTTCTACTTGAGCTTGAATTCACGACTGACGTCCCCAAGATTCAACAATGACCTCAAGCTGGTCATGTAGCATCTGGGGAGTCTTTCGTTGCTTGATGAAGCTTTTAAGGTGAGCGCAAGTGAAAGGACTTGCAGTTTGAAAAGAAGCTCAAGATACTGATTAAAGGTAACCAATTCTGCGGGGTGCGAAATAAATTTGTTTAAGCCTGGAGGCCTGATCTAGAATGGACTCTAACGTCTTTGAAAATAGTGTGGGTTTGAAAGGAGCTTGTACCTGGTTTCTCCGACGGACTTAAGAGGAAGCTCCCAGAAGAACAAACTCAAAAACTTGGTATGCTTTTAAGTTCGGACTCTAAAAACAAACACAAACAATCATCTATGATTTGATATATATCACATTATACATGAAATACTGCTGACCTAGTTATACCCATGTTTTCTTTCTCATATATACAATACTTTCCAAAAGCAGAAATAGTGTAGTAGATTCTACCTACATATAGACATTTCTCACGTGTTCCTGGTTCAGGACACAAGGTACTATTTTGCTATTCGGATCCAAGACGTTCACAGAGAAAGTTCTCTCACATACAATAGCACATCATGATATAAAATATGGAATGTTCTGAGATAGTTCTCCCCGACATACCTCAGGAGTCTTCTACCGCATGTCATGGAATTCACAACGCCCTCCATGAATGTTGATATGCTGGTGTACCATCACTGTCGTACTGGCAAGCAATTCTCAATCTTGGCTCACTGTGTGGGAGGTGATGTATTGAACAGGGCAACATATCAGTGGAAATCTCCCGCTATCTTCTAAGGCTGAAGATTGAGAAACTGCTTACCGCAAGTGGAGGCATTTTGGCATTTTCTTTGAAATATATTCACTATTTTAGTGCATTTCAGGTATTCATGAGAGGGGAGCTTGGGATTGCTAGGTACAATGCTCAACATAGCCATTGCTACGGATTGTATCTCTTCGGAAATGCAAATGACCACCTAAATTTCGAAAAAGTCGATCTCATTCCTAAGATTCAGACTTGAACTATTGTCCGATGATACTTGTATTCGCTAAGCCTCAGTCACAGCATTGAAGTTGATAGCCTATTGAATATTGCGCACGATCTACCTTGTTGGGTAGAAAGAGTGAATTTGGAGAAATATTGCATCCATATAGTTGACTTTCGCGCCAGATAATTTCTTCTCCTCTTGCCGACATACAAACAGTTTTCCCCCACCACCTCCAATCGCAACTCCATCATAACATCACCGCAATTCCCATACCGCAATTGCAGTTACTTTGACGATGAAATTTAAAGAAGAAGACTCGGCCATGTTAGGAGCTGAAGAAGAAAATCAAGCCGTGGCGGGAGTTAGAGAAGAATCTAGTGAAAATGTTTGGGAAGCTAGGTACTCGAACGTGCGGTTCAGCAAAAATATGACTGTAGGTGCTATCTTTTAATTTATTATAGCATATGACAAATACGATCATAACTCCATACTAACTTCATACACAGAGCGAGGAATTGTTGGAGAGTTTGAAAAGTTTGATAGGACCAGGAGCAGAGGATGAGAAAAAGCGAAGAGTGATTAAGTGGACCCAGACGGAGAAGGGTCGGAGAAAGGCTGCCGAAAGCCACGCTCGTAATAAGGAGAAGAAGATCGAAAAGATTAAAAGGTTCCAGATGCGGAGGGAAAGTAACATGGCGAAAAATGCGCAGAGGGCTGAACGTAGGGAGATTGCCGATGCCAAACATAGATGGGACGCAGAACATCCGGAAGAGGCAGCAAAGAGAAGAGAGAATAATAAAGGAGCGCGGAAGCGAGCAGCCCAGAAAGCAAAGAAGAGACTTCGAGCAGAATTTCAGAATGCCGGGGAGATGGTAAGGTTCATCTATGACATTACTCATTGAAGCCTGTGAGACGGATGTACTGATCACATAATGTATAGGGGCCGTCGACTGCAACAGATAGATACATGATGAAGTCGGACGCTGCGCGTGGTGTAGGAGAGGAGGCTGTCGAGGCTGATACTATGAACGCAGAGAAGATGGCTGGTGACGATTACGATGTTAACGCGATGAAGGGTTTAGATTTCTCTAAGAACTTAACATTCAGTCTAGCTATCAGGAAAAAATAAGCTTCACTTATTTTCAATGAAGAGATAGAGCATTTCTTTTTGCGTAAACTTTTTAAGACCAAATACGAATAAGTGAAATTTTACTCTATGATATTTCAAAATGACACCAAAGATTCACACATTCCCCCTATCTCCCCATCTTGAATTCATGTATAAACACTGAAACTTCTAAAAATATCAATAATCTAACAATGAAGAAGCTTTCGCTGCATATCTAGTAAATAATATGATCTTGTTCAAACAAGATCATGTAACATATATGCAATAACATAGCAGGCAAGTGCGCACTTTTATTGTATATCTCATCCTTCTACATGCTTTCCATAGTAAAACCTCACAAGAGCATGCCAAATCATGGAATAGCGTTTTGTAATGCGATGTGCAAATAAATAGGTATCTTTTCATTGTTTCAAGAAGTCATTGTGGTTCTTTCACTGTATTCTTGTGTGCAGTGGCTGATTTGTTAATCAAGTTCTTATTCATGCCCGCCATTGTCATTTTTCTTAGGGCCTTCGATTGCCTACTTGAGTGAGGTATAATTGCAAGGTGAAATAATCGAACTGTGATTGGTGTATAACTATTGAACCTCCCACTCATATCGACCGTAGAGACAAATCCCCAGGTTTTCTCCATATGCTCAGGATATCCTCCGCTATTTGTAAAAATGAGATGCCTATTATTTCATCCAAGATACCTACTTGCCTAGATTAAGATGCCTACCTGCCTACTACCTAAGTCAACTACCCCACTTTCCGACCACCCCCTCTTTTCGACCACCTCGAAAACCACACCGCTTTGAGTAATTATAAAATTTACACTTTGAATAACTCAACGATGCTTTAATCAATTAATTTGAAATTTTGATATTATCATAATTGTGATATGAAGAATAGATATATCAAAGAAGATATCGCAGAGGCTCTTAGAGCGATTACAAATGGAGCAAGTATACAAAGAGCTAGCTTGGATTATGGTGTTCCACATACCACACTTCACAATCGAATATATAATGGAGTTTCACATCAAAAAGGTGCTCAAATACTTCAAAAGTTATCTCCAATTCAGGAGAATCAACTAGTAGAATGGATATTAGTATAGGAAGCTCTTAGTACTAGCCCTATACATCATCAAATCAGAGAGATGGCAGAGCACCTCCTTATTGTACAAGAAGAGGATCCCTCACTTGGAAAGAAATGGATACATAGCTTTTTTCAAAGGCATCCTAATATTGGAACTAAGAAGCAATATCAAATCGATTCTGCACGAGTTTCAGGTGCTACATCTGATATTATTAAGAAGTGGTTCCGGAACCTCGCAATCCCTGAAATCAAGGCTATTAAGCCGGCCAATAGATGGAATATGGATGAAGCAGGTATAATGAAGGGTCAGGGTTTTAATGAACTAGTAGTAGGAAGCATTGATCGAAGATTTATTCAAAAAAAGCAATCTGGATCTCGAATTTGGACTTCTTTTATAGAATGCATTTCAGCTAATGGAAAAAGTATTACTCTTCTTGTAATATATAAGGGAAAATCAGTTCAACAACAATGGTTTCCAATCGATTTGATTCTATTTAAGGGTTGGAACTTTACTGCTATAGAAAATGGATGGACTATAGATGCTACAGCTTTAGAATGGCTGAAAAAGATCTATATCCCTCAAACTATCTCTATTCAGCCGGAAAATTCAAGACTTTTCATTTTGGATGGATACGGAAGCTATGAAACTACAGCATTTATGTTAGAATGCTTCAATAACAATATATATCTCTTATTTCTCCCACCACATATATCACATGTATTACAATCACTCGATTTATCTGTGTTCTCACCCCTAAAAAGTGTATATCGAATCGAACTTAATAAATTAAGTCTATTATCCGATTCCTCACCAATTGGAAAGCGCAATTTCCTTTCTTGCTATCAGAAGGCTAGAATAGAAGGTTTAACTATTCAAAATATCAAGTCTGGGTGGCAAGTTAGTAGTCTTTGGTCCAAAAATATGGCTAAACCTTTTATGAGTCGACTTTTGCTTGAAAATAGCAATAAAGAGGTTTTATCACTTAATCCTGAATCTGATGATGATCCTATTCTTCAATGGAATATACATTCATTGTTTATTCAATGGAAAACCCCTCAAAAAGGAGCCGATATCAGAAAATATAGAGATATAATGATTCAAGAGAAGGAGATCGATTTGCCAACACAAAGATTACTATTTCGCAAGATTATAAAAGGATTCGATGCTAAGGATTATAAACTCTTAGAGGCAGAGAATAAGATTAGAAAGCTAGAATATCAATTAGATGAAGTATTACCTAGAAAAAGGCGAAAGGTTGTGGTATCTTCAAATTCGAAGTTCGCAGGGATTAGAGCTATAAGGCGTATACAAATTGAAGCGGGAGATTGTGAAATTGAGGGAGATGATAGTTCTAGTGCTATAGAAAGTGATTCTACAGGCGATTTTATTGAAGTTCAATAGTTATTGAGTTATTAAAGTTTTAAGTGTAGATAATATGATTTTTTTAGGTGGTCGGAAACAGGGGGTGGTCGGAAAGTGGGGTAGTTGACTTACTACCTTACTTACGTCCCACCTACATACATACATACATACATACATACATACACCAATAATAAATCCCACCCAGTACCAGTTCTCTCATGCAGACAGTCTAGAGATAAGCCCTCCGCCCTTCTCAAATACAATGAAATACAATAACATAACACCTCACACTCCGACATGCAACAAAACACATCCTCGCATCTTTGTTCTCTTCTTTCTCCGTCTCATTGGTCCATTGCACATGCAATCGACTGTTTCTCTTCTGAATGAGGGATGGACGACTCCTGAATAGGCGAATACTTAGTGGGATTGGGCTTATCTTTGACATTATCACATCATGAGAGATAAGGATCGGGGAAGAGTGGAGCTATGATTACTAGGTAATGTAATATAAGCTCGAGGGAAAGTAACGGTTGGATATTTGTTAATACGTTTGAGCTTGTACTCCGTGCCAGAGGATACCCAGGTGGTATTCCGTCAACGCGTGTAAGGGTAGGTATTGGATATGTAATGATCCATGGACGAGACAATGGTTCCTGCACTTTGGTAGGTAAGAACTTAACTCGATCTTGTCGATGCTGCAGGAGAGAAATCAAAAATAGATTAGATCATAGAATTTTAGGTTTAGATACTCCGTTCATATATTTGTTATCCATGTTTGATTGATGAAAGGAAAGAAAGCTAATCAAGGAACGGAAACGGAGGAGACCCAAATAGGAGCCTAATTAAAGCACGTGTAGATAGCCTTGATGATTTCCAGTTTATTGAATGAAGTTTGAATGAAGTTTCGTCTGCTTACTCGACTTGTTTTTGTTCACTTCTGACGGAATATCTGGCGCAAACAATACTGCAACTGCTTGCTATATTTTCAAAGTAAGTGATGTTAGTTTTAAATTTATACCACGGCTCTCCTCCAAATCGTGAAAGAGAACGAACGAACTTTCATTAATGGCGTGGTGAGGTTTGTGATATGACCGATTGCGGGGTGTGAAGTGGGCTGAGATGGGACCAAGGATCCCTTTGCGCAATATTTATATTGCTCGGGATTCCCATTTCTTTGATCGCATAGTTAGTTCAATACTTACTTATCTATTGAGCGCAGACTCTTATATTTAAAGGAGAATAATCGCAAGAATAAATTTAAATATTATCACAATGGCCGAGCCTGAAGTTAGTCACGGTCGCGGAGGTATGTATTTCTTGAATGTCTACAGCAGAAGGAAATTCTAACGTCATAGCAGGCGCAGGAAATATTGGAGTCGATCCCACTCAGTATGCAACACCTTCCTTCTATCGCGAATATTTGAGCATTCGCAATCCAATATCAGGCGAAATTTATCGACAGATAAACTAATGGGCGCAATAGATATGTTGATGGCGAAATTGTCCGTCAAGGACCAGCAGGAGATCACGGCGATGGAGCATTCAGTGTCGGTCGCGGTGGGGCTGCAAATATCGGCTCACCTGGTCTCCCAGCTACCAAACGAAGCGATGCGGATAGTATCCCAGATGCTGCATTGAGGCCCAGCACCGATGGCGAGGTTGTGCATTTCGGACGAGGTGGAGAGGGCAATGTGGTTAATACGACCAAGCCGGGTGCACAACATCCGGTTGGATTGGCGGATAAGTTGAAGAATAAGTTGTTCAAGAAGAAGGCGCACTCTACTGAGAAATAAGTGGCTGAAGGAGAGGGTATTCTCTGAGATTGGTAGAATGGGTCTTGGCCCCATCTTGACCTAAGATTTGCAAGCTTCTTCGCCGGTTAGATTTGAGGGGACTTCATTAATAAATTTCGAAGTTGGGGAGAGGAGTTTTGACATTCTTCTGGGAGGATAAAATGATACCCGAGTAATGATTGACTTGTGGGATTGGATTGAGTCTTTTAATTTGTTTGTCTTTTAACATATGTTGTTTGTTTAAGAAAGTATTCCAATGATATATTCTGGTTTGCAATATATGCTGAGGGACCATGAAGCAGCAAACTGATCAATCGTTCGCACCGTCAACATGTGACTCGACTAGGTACCTAGGTAGATACCTGATGCTGACAGTATTATACATACTATACTATACATATTTGCTAGGTAGTTGAGCGGCATGGGAAACGTTTCCAATGATTCAAGAATATGGATTTGATAGCTCTGGCACGATATACTCCGTAGACATACAAGGGGACCTCGAGGCACAGCTACGTAATGTTGTCAAAGCTACGAGCATCATTGCTATCCATGGATATTTACATTGATTCCACTCTGAATTATTGATCGACCAATCAAAAAAGCAAATCTCGCAAAAATGGGCCAATGAGACCTGTAAAATCTGATGTGAACTTTGGCTGGCCAATGAAAATGGGTTGATCAGAGCTTTTTTAATTGTTGTGCGACACTTTATTTACACTTTCCATTTTGATAACCCTTCGATAAACACTTGACAGTCGGGAGAATTGTCAACCCGACTGTTTTGATTGAACTTTAAAGCTCGTCAACCACAACCAAAATCGTGACTATTACATAGAATTGTCGTAATCATTGACAGTTGTTTACTCAATTCCCGGACTTCGCGGTGAATCTCCTACCTTGACTTTATTGTGCCTAAAGGGGAGCAAGATCTTGATCGCGTATAATCTTCGTTCATTCTGAAGTACCTCGAAAGGTAGCTATTTTATTTCTTGAAAGCTTTGGTATCCTCTGCAATTACCTACCCACATCAAAAATTTGCAAACCCTCCTTGGTCAACCATTTATATTTACATTTACATGTACTTTGGATAAATATCATAACGTTTCCCAGTCTACCTCTGCCTCAAAACTTCTTACAGAAGCTGCATCTGCTTCGCAGTCAACTCGCACATCGACTTCACGTCCCCGCGCACGCGACTTTCCATCAATACTCGAGACTCACAAAACCATTTCTCGCGGCTACACTTCGCGGTTTATCATGGCGCCAAAACATGGCTTGAATGGCTCGAGTTCATCTTCGAATAAAAGAATGAAGACAGAGTCTTCCGAGCCAGGTTCTATATCCTCTCCTGCCGCTGTTCAAGAGGCGATATCCTTCGAGATTAAGATACCGCTTATGGATCTGGATAAAAAAGGAAAGGGGTCAAAACAAAATGCGGAACTGAGAGCACTGGCAGAGGAGCATATATCACCATTTCAAGGTTTCAATGCGCCGGAGGACGAACTTAATTACCATTATACTGTTGTGCCAAATACAGAGTGGGCGGCCATGAGGAAATATAACAACTTCATAAGTAAGTGTACTTCAAACATTAGCTATTGAACTTCCTCTAATTTGAAGCAGTCCAAAGCGATACTTATAAAAACAATCAATTCGTTTATGTGAAGGGCAAGACAGAAACAGGCACACAACCAAGGGACTTCTGGATAGCAAGGATATTACAGGTTAGAGCTAAAGATCCGCAGCATGTCTACGCCTTGGTAAATACTATTATCTTTGGGAAAAGACCTTGGACTGATTGGTATTAGGTTGCCTGGATGTATTGGCCGGAGGAACTACCAGCGACAGCCAAAGCTGCAGGCGAGACATCCGCAAGTTCAGGACGGAGGAAATACCACGGAAATTCAGAGCTTATTGCGAGCAATTATCTGGATGTCGTAGATGTATTGACCTTCGCAGGAAAGATAGATGTTGAACGTTTTTCTGAGGACCTGGATGATTATGCAGTATCTGATCCGGATCCCAGCAAGTTTTACTGGCGTCAGACATTCTGTCAAGCCACCCAGAGACTTTCGGTGAGTTTTATCTCTGTAAAGTAGACACATTTTAACTAATCATTTTCTTTCAGGACTTGCCCGTCTATTGTATTTGCAATGGTCACTATAATCCCGATAAACGCGAGTATGAGCATATTTGTGATAATGGAGATTGCCAAACTCTATATCATTCGGAGTGTTTGATTGAAGATGCCCTCATCAAGCGATATCACGAGGAGTACCCAAATGAAACTGCAACAAATGGAACAAAACCCAAAGATAAGAAGAACAAGAATGGGAAATCGAAACAGAAGATATACTCTAAGGAATTCAAAGGGGAATTCGCACATGATCAGGATGAGCAGACTCCACCAATGATCAAAATTACGGACAAGAGATCGACTCCGCATACGGTGATATTGCAGCGGGTTGCATGTCCAAAGTGTTCAACTCTATTCGAATAATCTCTTGTTTTTCGAGCTTTTGGTTCTAAATCACTATCACAGCTTATTTCCAATGCGAACTTTTATGATTTACGGCTACTTATACAACACAATCTAAAATGATCTCTCGAGATCATGCTTCTCGTGGAAGCAGATGCCCCTTGCATCTGCATCACCCCTTGCATCTGCATCACCCCTCCACAATCTAACACATATACGTACGATTTTCAATGTATTTGCACATACTTTACACCAATTTCATTTACAAAATTTAATTTCTGGTCATGGTTGTCTGGACATATCATTTTGTATTACTGGAAAAAGCGAGCTGGATGCTAGGTGAATCAAATAGCGGCGTCTCTGGAGATAGTGGATCGGGAACATACTTGTGCCCTCTAATACCCATTTTTATTTGATTTTGATCCTCAGGTAACTAATGGTTTCGATTTCTCTTTTGTTTTTGTGTGATATTTTTACTCGTTGGTATTTTGCAAGCGGTTTTTTCCATTTTGGGTCATGGCGATTGAGAGTGCGCAAACAACTTTTCTTAAATTGTCGAATGAATGGGGATAAAGTTATTGGAGATTGAGAAACGAGAGATTTGGGGAAACGGGAAGAGAGCATAAGTATAACGAGTAGTTCTAGTAAGATCATGCACTTGACTGGAGAGGCGTCCTAAATGGGCATGGTAAGGGAACGTTGATGCAACATCAGTAGAACTGTGACCTTTCGGAGGGTAGATGGTGTTTTCAGTGGCATATTCACTGAGGAATATAGGGGGAATTGGTGATTAGTATCAGAATTAAGAATAGACTATTCACAATACCTTATCATTATCAATCCTGGATGGCTATAACTTGAATATGATATGCGTATATTGAGTGTCTATCTCATTCTCGAAATTGAATCTTCCTCTGTATTTGTCACCTACTTCGTTTGAGAAATTTTTAACATCATTAGGATTATATAAGAGTAGCTATAGGGGATGTTATTTCTTAACCTTGTTCTCTCTCCTGTTCGTTATTTTCTTGATTTGCAGGTTGTAGTGTGTAGATGGTATAGTATATCTAGTGTAGTGTTATGTGGAATGTTCTTTAGGGAAGTTGAATCAGGGCAGGTTTTGGGAAGAGGGAGGTGGGAATATGAGAAGATAAGGAAATGAGGAGTATAGAATATAGGGGCATAAGGTGTCAGGTATGAGGTATGATTAGCGAGAAGATATCAAGAGGGAGGAAGAGAAGAGAAGAGAAGAGGATACTAAGTTGAAGAATAGGAACTGAACATTATAGATTATAGATTTATAAAGGAGATGTATGAATAGATATCTGGCTATTGATTATACAGAGTAAGAAGAGATGAGAAGTAAGAAGTACAATAACTGTTAGCTATCACCTAGCTAGCGGTATAGATAATTAAAATAGAGTACATACCCTCATCTCTTTTAAGGATATCACTTGAGAAAAGAAGAGGGTGAGGTAAAGATGTACAGGAGTTGAATAGATGGTTGGTTATATACATACACTTCCTCTATCCTCCCCCCCACCACTCCCAACACACAAATCCAACCCCCCTTCTCTAAACCCCCAACCCCAAATAAGAAACCCTCACCCACCCAACTACCCAACTACCTAAACACAAAATTCGAATAACCAAATAGCTAAACAGAAGTAAAAGTGAAAGTAGAAGTAAATCAGATGAGATTACATACTGTATACTATATACTACACAGTGCTGTATCTAGTATATAGATGATACTATAATACATAATGGACTATTACCTATACCTATCTATCTATACCTATTTAGGGTAGTTCTTGTACATATTTGTGTATTTGTATAAAGTAATGTCGAACTTCCTCTTTTTTAAGGGATTATAGATCATGTTGTAATAATTATCTTTTGATGTTTTCTATGGAGTGGTTTGTAAGTGTGATATGAATACAGTTATTGTGAAATAATACCTCCCCCCATTCCCTTCTCTGCACGCTTCATCTTGGCCAAGGAAAAACATGAATACTTCTTCAAGTCGTTCAGGAACATGAGTTTGTATGTTTATGGATTGATGTTCATTGAAGGGGAATAGTGAATATAGCGTGTATGAATATGAATAATGGAATATATTCGTAAGTTTGGTATTCCATCTATAGAATAACGTTAAACACAGCTAAACTAGGATACTTCAAGAAAAGGCTGGCATCATATTATGCATCGCCTACAGACCAGATAGCCACTTGACCACGTACACGGCACGACTTGAGGATAAACAACTTTGCTATCATCTGTACCGGTAGGTAACACCCAGCGAGCAGACCCGTCTGCCTATCCTTAATTGTTGAGCCAATCGACTTTGCAAGCAAAAGTGACATGCCAACCAACTATCATCGACCAGTTACAAGGGGCGCCGGCTCGTGTCATTGAGTGAAGGACGTCATGCCACCAATATAGCAGCAGTAACATCCATTCCCCAGCAAATCCCGAATTCTGCCATCGATGTTACCCTAGAATATGCCAGCACTCGAACCCCTCCTTCACATTCCCCCCAGAGATGCTCATTCACACCCTCTTAAGCCTCACAATACTCTTCTATTCTTCCAGCAGAAAATTAGCTTAAATCCTAGGAAAAAAGAGTCCATCCATCCTTCCCAAACCACCATCACAAACTTCCATAACGGAAAAAAAAAACTTCAGAACCCCACACTCAAAGCACCGTCAACGATCCCACACCGACCCCAATACCCGCTGCATATGACGATGCCACACGGATATCAGCGTGAGTGTTTTTGTTAGGGATGTCAACCTCATACGGCTCTTCCTAAAGATAATTTTGAGGGTATTGATCTCATCATTGTAGTTTTTCTTTGTGATGTTGGTTTGGTTGCTTGAGAGATAAAGAAAAGGTACTTACGGAGGAGAGTTGGGATATTGATGCGATGTATTGTTTGTGTTTCGAGATCGTTGTTTGCTGGCTTTATAATAAAGGAAAGATGTGTGAGTTGAGCTGCTCTGTTAGTGATGTATGTGAGACCCAATGAGGATGATAAATCGCAACATCTTGTCCATAAGTAATCAATCTCTCATAACCATTCGATCATTTTCCCTCTGGCTTCAATGGTATCTCGTTTTATCATATCCTCATCATCCTCTCTTTTTCAAACAGACAAGACATTATCACCAATACCCAGCATTGCACCGTAATGTTGTTGTTCAGTATTTGTTTCGTGGTGGTGTTATTAACATAATTTTCCCATTCCTACCACAAGATTTTTTTTTCTTAGCCTATTAGCTTTCCACGCTAAAACCACTAGCCTCAAGCTTCTAATCAATTACATAAGTGAGTCCCGTACAACCAATAACATTGCTTTATTAGTGGATACGCATGATTAGAATTTTTGTTGGATGTCTGAAGATGAGAGGTTGCACGAAGAAGAGAGGGAGGATGTACCAAAAAGCTGGATGTGCAAAGAAAGAGAGATGGATGCGTGCACTTGCGTCAAAAATTCAGATGTGCAACAAATGCAAGAATAATACAACTCTCGTGATCTTCACATACATACATACATGATTTTGCCATACGCAATCCTCCGTCGCCCATTCCTTTCCTCTTCTTCCGAGTGATAGATATCAAAGAATCGATATATATATATATAATACATACCCATCACTCACAAAATTACCCAGGCACCTAGGTAGACCCAACCCAGATCCTCCTAAACACCACATCCACATGCACAACCCCATGCAGCACTTCCGAGAATGCCCCATCCCTCGCCGTCGATCCAGCTTCCAGACTCATTCGTTTATGCATCCCAAACATCCGCCGTTTCAAGTACCTGTCTAGGTAGTGAAAGCTTCTCCGTTCTTCCTCTTCCCGTACGCTCATCTGAACTAAGCTCCGCTTATCTCATCTCATCTGAGAGATGTTAATGATCTCATTCTAAGCTGTGTTGCGTTGAAGGGAATTAGGTGGACAGCTGGGTACCTAGGTACATCACATCACACTACCAAACATCTAAAAACATGACCAAAAAAAAAGAAAACTTTATCTGATCGCATCATATATCACACATCCATAACACCACAACTCTAATCCAGCCTCCAGCCTCCAAACCATTACTCTCATCCCAAGTCCCCAAGTACCTACCTTCCCAAGCATCATACCTACCTCCCCACAATTCCCTCCCAAACTCCATCCCTCCCAAACACCTAAACCCAAACCTAAGATACTTAGACCGAGATATAAATAAATCAATCACCATACAATGAAATCACCAAACAACCAGATCACTAAATCACATCACCCCAGTCTCCCAGTCTCCCAGTCTCCCAATCTCCAATCAAAATCTCCCATCAAACCTCCAGGAACACCATCAATGCCGTCCACGGATGTATCATGTATCATGTATGAGTTATATGATCATCCGAGGTATCTTCCGAGGTACCAGGTATGCTCCCTAGGAAAAGAAACAAGAAAAAGAAGAAAAATCCAAGACTTACATGCGTAATATAATATCGGCACTTACTTTCAAATTTTCGAGTACCGTATGCGTATGTCAGGATGTCAGGATGTTAAGATGTCAGGATGTCAGGATGTTAAGATGTTAAGATATGATATACGCATAAACAATCGATATATCGTATAGAGGTATATGAATTAGTATGTGAGAATATTTATAAACCTATATATATACCAGGTAATGAAAGATCATCACAATGTTTCTCTAGATTTGGGGGTTGAAACGTGTAGATTCTATTCATACCAATAGTGAGTACTTAGTAGGTATATCAGATGGAAACATCAATATCAATATCAAACATCCATATCCTCCATACAAGAAAATTCCATTCACACAAATCACAAGGTGTCAACACAATTTTCCCAAGGATCTTGATAAAACATTGCTGTCTTTATGTTTGGTCTGTCCTTTATTTAGTAACTAGCAATTAAAGGTTCAGTTTAACCCCATCCACATCCTCCTTCATTTTTCCTTCATCTCTCTTCCCTTTCAAAATACACGAGGCAC